ACATTTCTAGAAATACCCTATAAAAGAATTGTTTTCAGTTTCTTAAAAATAAGCAGGCCAGTTTAAAGGAGCTGGTAGCATTATCCCAAAGTTTGTTGTTACTAACATACATGAACAGAGAGAAGAGGGTTGCAAAAATGTGCCTCAGCTCTTTTATAGCTGGTAAAGCTACCAAAAATCCAGGTCCTGAATGTTTTTGTGTTCCCCAAATTAGTAGGCATGTTTAGAGCCCCAAGTAGGTACTAATCTGACCTTTGTAGGGTTTTTTTCCCTACTGGTGTTGTTTGGAACACAGCTACATGGAAGAGAAAAGGGTAACTGAAAAGTGATTTGATTTGATTTGATTTGATTAATTTTTGCTGAGCAGACTTGTAGAAACCTGGGAAATCATTAATATTCCAAGACTGAACCCATAATTTTCTTGCCTCCTTCCTTGAGATTCAAGAAGAAATCCTCACTTGTCCACTGTTTGCTGGAAGGTGAAAGAGCTATTTGCTCTCCTCATGGGGGACTCTTGTTTGTGGCCCTGAGTGAGGACCTTACCCAGCTGCAAGTGGCATGTCCAGCTCAGTTCCTTGGCTCCCATAAACACACCAGACCTGCCAGAAGAAGGCTTTGCTTGCAGCCCAGTCTTCCTGACTCACAACCAGAGTAAGTTCTCTGTAATCTCTTACATGAAACAGGGGGTCTAAAAATATCCTTTTACTTTTTGCAGTTTAGTTTCCTATTAAGCTGTTAGTAGAAATCCACAGATGCTTGGATTTTAATCTCAAGGGAACAACTGGGACAACTTGCATCCCATTACCGCTTCGACCCTTGCCCTGGCTTTGTGCTGGTTCAGCACAGCCAGTGCAGGCCTGGACACGCACATGCCTTGGGTTTATGCTTTCAGAAGTAAAAAGGAGGAGCCTGGTATGAGCTACTTTCATAATGGGATGCTGCAGTAAGCAAGCAAAGGTTATATGATAAAGAGGCTGTGCAATCTCATACAATGGATATGCAGTCAAGTAGAATATTCACCTTGAAAGGAGAAAAAAATCTTAAGATGAGCAAGAAATGGAGAGTTAGATTTCCTTTGCCAAAACGTGAGGTAAATTATTCAGGATTAAAAATTCATAGTGTATAACCTTTGTGTTGCTGTTTTCCTAGTTGCTCACATACAACGTAGGACTCCATTTTCAGGATATGAGATCTTGCATGAACAGCTTCTAAACCCTGAAATTTTTAATTCATTCCTTACACAGAATGATACACGTTCTTTTCTACTCCTACTAACCCACAGTGGAAGCACATTTCTAGTGCATTAGATTTTTATTTTAATTATGAAGCTAAAGTTGGTTTCTGCATAAATCTAATGCCAAAATAAATAATTTTGTTTGGCTTAATTTTGTATTTTGAATACAATTGTAAATCTTAACTATTTTAGGATCACTGGCATTTTTAAACAGGTAAACTGATACAGGTAAGGGTGAATTTGTTTGAAGTGCCTGATCCCTAACCGTCAGTGATGGATTATTAGCAATGTCAAAATAATTTTAGCTATGGTAAGTAGAAAACATTTCTGCTGGTGCAGTGCCGTGGGTTCAGTGCGTATGGCTGTGTGTTTGCATAGAAGAGCGAAGCGTGTTTTTTAGGGTCCCCTGAAGATTTTACATAAGACTGCATGCATTTTTCCTCAGTGCCCCCGCACATGGCAGAGAACGCGCAGCTCTCAGCCCGCTCCGAGGCTGCGGTGTGCCGGGAGCCACGGGCGAGCGGGAGCCCTGCGGGCCGCGCCAGCTGCCGCCGTGCCCGGAGAGCGGAGCGGCACGGCACGGACCTGGGAAAGCCGGGCTGCTGGAGCCGCTCTGACCTGCGGCGGCCCCGGCCACAGCTGCCAGCCGTACAGCATGAGACACGGGCGGGCTCCGTGCCTGGCACGGCTCAGAGCACTACGGTCTGCTGGGTGCCTGGAGCTAAGCAGGAGAATGGGAGTGAGTAAATGGCAGGCGTTTGCTGCTGGTAAAGGTTTCCTGTAAGTATTACAGATGTGGCAGTGTAGAAGGAAGTACCCTCGGGCACGTCCAGCCCAGCCCTGGCAGACCTCAGCCTCCAGCTGGCGGAGTGAAGGACAGGTTTGCAATGTGCCTCTGGGATGAAGTATTAAAGAGCTCTTGCTCTGAAATTCCTGAGCTTGCTGATGTGCCTGAGCGCAGGCTGCAGGAAGCTCAAAGCACAGGTGAGAAGAAACATTTCAAAGTTTGGGTAAGTGGGGTTTTTCTATGCAAGAATTTGGAAGTGCCATTACTCCCAAAACATCTGAATGCCAAAGGGGAAAAGCATCCATTATCATCCTTAGCTCTTTTTCACCCGTCATCTGCAGAGGAAGTCACTATACTGTAATAAAAATAATTTAAAGGTGTGTTTTCTCAGGAATCGTGAGTCTTGTCCTTTCTGTACATGAAGATGTTTCAGTCTCCATTTCTAAATATGATCTTCCTGGAGTTTAGTACATTTGACAAGGCTCTTAACTTGGTTTTTCGGTGGCTGCAAGAATACAAGAACCACGATGATGGTCACCCTGTCTCCCACACTGGCTAGTGATCCTTCTAGAAGGAGATCTTCACTGGTGCCCACTCCTGTCCTGCACTGATCGCAGCTGCGCAATTTCCTGACACAAAGGCTGCATTCGGATCATGCAAATGCAGGTGTTTTGCATCCAAGTCTCTGTGTAGGTCACGTCTCTTGAAGCTGTTTTCTTTGCTTCTACCAGATCCTGTGGCAAGAATGTCCCTGATCAAATTGTACTGTGTAAAGAAGTTTCTTTTCTCTTTGGTTTAAATCTGATTTCACTGGCTGTTGATGAGTTTTCATATTACAAAACCAGCAATTACTTGCTCCCTATTAATCTTTCACTCTTTTACAGACATAGTATTCCTCACCTTGAGATGTTTTCAGCCTGGAAAGTGAGTTACATAACCTCTTGTGATGACACCACTGTATTTCTGATCATTCTTTTTTACTTTAATTTTTCTTTCTCCTGTTTCTGTCTCTGTGTTGCACAGTTTCTGAGATGCACTGGAAGCACCATAATATTCAAAACGAGGGCATGCCATAGAATTGCTCTGTAGTCTAAATCTAATTTTTCCCTGGGAATTTTTAATGTTCTACTTGCCTTTTGGCTGTCAAAGACCACTGATCCTGTGTGTTCCAACTATGCAGAATGACTCCCAGGTCCCTGTACTGAAAAAGTCAGAGTAATTTAAAACCAACTGTGTGATGCAGTTAGTATTTTTCTGCATGACTATGAAGCTTATTAGTCAGCCTCTCATGCCAAGATTTTTTTCCTAGCTCTGTAATTTTGTCATCAAGAAACACTTGTGTTTTCCTTTGTCAGATTATCTGTTAAAATATGCCAAATGCCCCCTAACATGTCCCCAGATGCCCTCTCAGTTATTCTAGATTTTAAACAGCCTTGAGAGGTCTCATTTATTTCCTGGAGAACCTTTTTTTTTTTTTTTTTTTTTTTGAGGGGCTAACCCTCCATACTCATACAATGTACAAGTATTTCAAGGATGTGAACTTGAAACTGGAACTACTGCAATACTGATGTCAGAAGTTGGATTGCTTTTTTTTTGTCTTCTCAAATTGATTTTTTGTGTGTGATGCCAAAAACAATTTGGGTGAGTGGAACAAATTACCAGCAGCTCTTCCACTGGTAGAAATGGACAAGAGGAAGGGGCTGCTGCTCCCAAGTTAGTGTTGCTGCCACTTTGTATTTCCCACAGGGCCTGGTCCAGCATGCTCCTCTTGTAAATCCTGCCCCAGAACCTGCTTTCTTACCAGTTCACTCCAGAGCTCTCCCCTCCTCTTACCTGTTGTTGCATAGCATGCCCTATTCTCTCATTCTTCTCTAAAAATGCAATAAAATAAGCCCCAAATCTTGTTTTTGGTAGGGATTTATGAAAATCTGGATAGTGAGCTTTCATGTCCTTTTCATTCCCAGATTTAGAATTACAGACCAGGTGACTTGCCTAGAGTCCACCTACTAAGGATTCAAACAGGAATGTGCTGTTTTCAATCTACAATTGCTTTCTCTCCTAAAACACCTTTTTTTAAAATTTGGAGTGAATACCATATTTGTAAAATGCCAATAGTTAATATAAAGCCAACAGTTAATATAAAAATCCACAAAGATAAGCAGTCTACTGCAGTTGTTGGAGGTTAATGTCACTGTAGCTTTCCTCTCCCACCCTTTTTCTAGCCATAATTTTATAAAATGCACAGAGGCTTGTATACAGCTATCCACTCTGCATGTATCACAGCTGAAGGAGGTATTTGGTTTCCTGATTTTAACAAGTACGTGGACTGCACCTAAGCTGTGATGTGCCTAAGCACACAGTTCAGCTCCCTTGCCTCTAAGTGAAGAAAACAAGTTCAATTTTCCAGATACAAATGACTCACAGGAAGCTGTGTAAATTCATTGGATTTTTTTTGCCTTTTTGTAACATCTTCTGCCAAAGGGGAAAGTCCTGCCTATTATCAGTGTAAGAAAACACTAAGAAAAGTTTAGTTTACCTTTGCAAGGTCAAATGTTTTTCCTCCTGGAGACCTCGTCCCCTCTTATTAAAGAAGAAACTGATTACCTCAAATCTTTCCCAATTTTTTTGATAGGTCACTCCTAAATTCAAAGTATTTAACTTCTGCTTCAATTAAAAATAAATTCTTTAACCTGCTTGTATGGAATGCACAATAGCAATGGCCAAAGAAGATTAGCTCATTAAACTGCACATAATTACTACAAAACAGCTGCTTTTAATGACCTTTGAAAGAACAGTTTGCCCATTAGCTGTGCTCATTTTTCCTTTGATATGCATAAATTTAGTGTTAATACATCTTATTCACAAATTGTCTTTTTTCATACATGTATCATAGTAACTCATGAACTGAGATGAACACACATAGCTATTCAGCCTTTTGCAAAGTATGGAAACAAAGTTAGAAAAAAAGGAAACAAGAAATTTTATACATCAGTATATTTATTACAGAAAAATAATCAAAAGTAAAAAACCATCAAAATTACATTTAAAGAAAAGTTCAGTAGCTAAGCTGTAATCCCAAGAGGTAACACTGACCACAAGAACAACCTCTGAGAGTCTGACATGCAAGGTCCTCTGTCACACGCACCGCTCTCCTTGGTGTCACCTGGATGTAATGGCTTCCCTCAGATAACCCAGGCACGACTCAGCCTGCTGCAGCTGCTGGCTGTTATCTTGGCAGCAGAGGACAGACACAGGGGAAGTAGCTCAGACATGTCACCGTGCAAGTTTTGGTGGCTATCACAGCACACCCATGACTATTACATGATTTTCACAAAGGAGGTTGCCTTCTCTGTGGTTGTGTAAGCCCCTCTTCCCTGGAGGCCCTGTGGAAGGCTCTCCAAGGCTCACCTGCCTGTACACAGCAGCACTGCTGTGTATCCCTGACTCCCATTGCAAGTGCTGTGGAAAAATTCTGTAGAAAAGTAACGAGTATAAAATTGAAGCCCCTGTTGAGACAGGGGTTCTTAGTTGCTCAAGAATTCAAAAGGCTAAACACCAAGTAGAAAAATATAAAATCTTATAGTAAAGAACAGGGAGGCCAGTCAAACCCTTCTCCTTCTGCCTGGTGGCTGCTTGGCTAGGAAAGGCTATCCAAGTGCTTTATCAGGGAGTTGAGTATTCAGTCTAATGATTTTGTCAAATCCAGAATGTCTTTTGTGTTTACTAATCAATTAATAGTTATATTCTACTTTTCCACACTATATATTTTGCTTGCAGAATTTCTTTGTGTTGAGGTAAAGATGCCCATAGAAGCTAGTTCAAAAGAGGGCCACTAACCACAGGCATAGTATAAAAGCAAACAGAAAAAACTCACAGAAGACAGTCTTCATCGACTGACAGTGAAGGCCAAACTTTTCAGGAGCTGCATATATTTCCATATGAAAGCCATCACTGTGTTTAGGGGAAGTGCCTGCTTTTGATTTGCTGAGATGTTTCATGGAAGACTGTGTCCTGCTGTTTGTAGAGAGCCTGTGCTATCTAGGTTTGGGGTTTTCTCAGCATCTGGTGGCCTCAGATTTTATGCAACCATAAGCTGTTCCAAAATATTGTGTTCTTGTTCATGATTTTGGTATCCCTGGCAAAGCAGCCCTTTGTGTAAAATTGGCTTATGGGAAGTTGGTTCAGCACAGTAACTGCAGTCTGACAATACCCTGAATTGGGTACTCTTAAAGGACTCCACAACCAAGGGGTCAGCTCAGACTGGATAGCTGCTTCACTGTGCAAACCGTTTAAACATCCTCACACCCTTTCCGTTTGACACAGACAAACATTCCAACATAAACCACTCTGTCTGTTACACAAAGCATTGCCAGCATCTAAATACAATAGACAAATGTAATTTTTCAGTACTAAGAGCTAAATTGCATTGAAGAGAGGAAAATAAACCAATATGTGCTGAAAATAGAGGAGTGTATTTCAAAACGTGTATTTCAAAAAACTGGTATTTAGTACAGAGCTACGTAACAATATGCAACTATTTCAAATGAGTCAATTTATACCGATTCTTAAGAGATTGAATCACAAAATTATTATTTCTAGTCCACAGGAAAGTGCCTTGAAAGAAGATGGTCCATAAGGTTTTAATTGTGTTCACCACATCTGTAAACAGAATGAAATGACCTGTTATTTACGTGAGTGCCACCTTGCTTTCCACGTGAAACATGGAGCTTCTTGGTGATTTCTCTGAGAACATTCCAGAGCCCTTCAGGAAAAAAGACATTGCCTTTGGACTCCTAAACATGAATACAATTTTATCTGAGTGGTCTTCCTAGGTACTCCCAGAGCTTGCACCATATGCTTTGCATGGACAGTAGCAAGATGAGCTCAGCAGGGGCTTTGCACATTTTCAGAGCACAGCATGCTAAATTAAGAATTTTTATTGAAACATAGAAGAGGTTTAACAACACAGAAAACATCATAATGCTTACAGTACTTCTTTTCCTAAGTTTCTAAAACCTGTCCATTAGAATTGATTTGTGGCAAATTCAAAATACCACACTGGCCCAAATATAATGGCTTTTTCATTACAGCAATTAAAACTTGAAATAAATACACTTACATTTGTTTTCAAACTAATTTTTTGACCAAGCTTTCAAGACCTTATAAGAATCAAACAAGAAGATCTAAGCTGCTGGTAAAATGCGCAGCAATCAAGGTCTTTGATGAACATGTGAGCTGGAGCAGGGAACAGGTTCCACAGCAGAAATTTCAGAACCCATTACAGGAAAAAAACAAGGAGAGGGGCCTGTGGCATCCTGTGTTCTTCCCCTCTAAAAGCTGCAAGGCTCCTTTGTGTTTGAGACAATTTTGAATTTATTTAAAAGCTAATTGGTACTTGCATACCAGAAAAAATATTGTCAGCTCACAGAGGAAGGCTGAAAAATAAGATGTGCTTGGATTTGAAGGTTCAGCAAGCTGCAGCTCTGACAAACAGCAGATGTAAATGCCATAATAAATATTTGATTCCTCTACACAGGTAATTGCTAGTAAATGACCATTCTCAATTAAATATGCTTTGGGGTCCTTATTTGAAATAAGTGAGCCTACGTAAACATTTCTTTAAAACAAAATCTTCAAAAGCAGTTAATCAGCAGCATTGCAAGAAGTTAATTAAGCTCATAGGTGCTAATGGATTTAGAGTGTTATTTATTCAGAGTTATCTAAGTCTGGCTCACTTCCTCCTTCACGCTAGCACTAGCAAGAAACCCTTCAGAAAGTTTTGGGGGATTTTTTACCCCTGTCCTCATACCAAAGTAGAGCAGTGAGGTGGCCTGGAGCGCCAGCTCACTTTGTGATCTCTATAGCTGGCACAAGAGAAACACTGCTTCTTTTGGCACAACCCTATTAGGTGAGCCTAAGCCAAAGTGCATTTCTGCTAGTGGCTGAGCACTTGCAGCACTTGATATAAAATGCTGAACCTTTGCAGTGGCAAAGCTGATTAAAATCCGGACTTTATTCTACTGCCCTCTTTAAGGACTCTGAAAACTCTCTTCAATCCCCACTGCCACAATGCACTGTTGCACAGCAAAGTTCATCAAAGTCTCTCATCTGGGCAAGTAAACAGGTTCTGATAGGATATTCCTCCTTATAGACTGTCTGTGGGCATGCACTTTGGATTCAAAAAGGCACCATTACCAATATTCTTGAATGAATTTGTACATTATATATGCTAGACTCAATCCAACAATTTCTGTGTCAGACTTCTGTTCTTAGCTGTGTAAACTCCCATGGCAGGGTTTCAAACAGGCCCTCTGCTCTCCTCTCTTGCAGGCAGCTGAGCTACTTGGAAACACTTTCACACATTCTCCTGCCTGTGAGAAATGTAGGCCAGCTCACCACAAGCAGACAGTGTGAAAGCATTCTTAAAAAACCCAGCTGCTGGCCTGTTTTTCATAGAGTGCAAGTCCTTTTAAACACTTGCCTACTTTCTACCCCATAAACCCTCCTTTTCCACAGAGGGAACTTCCCCCTTTCTGGGGTGAGAACACCACAGGAGCCATGTCCCCTGCCCCACCACAGCAGACTGCTCTTGCACCACTATTACGCTACCCCACTAAGGCTCTAGCCAAACTGTAGTACTGAATGGAAAAAACCCACACCCACCTGTGTCTGCTTTTAGTTCTCAATATTTCAATGCATTTCTAAATATCAACAAAATCCATAATTATTTGATTCTTAAGTAAAACAAGCTGGAAGTTGAAAGGAGTTGTATTTGTTTTAATACAAGCAGTCAATCCAAATTAATTCCACTTAGGTCAATCATCAATACTCAGCTACAGCTAAAGAAAAAAATTCCACAACGATGGGGGATTTAAAATTAGTATGAAAGGTATGCAAGGTAAAAATTAAGAAACAAAATTAATCAGGAATTACAAACACAGAATATTTCCTTGAGTAATGCTTGGATTTTGATTGTTAAATCTGTTATTTGCACTATATTGTTCAGAAGAAGAATACCATTCACCATGGAAAAAAAAAGAGATTTTTTAAAAAAATTACAAGGTTGCCTACCTGGCACTAAGCTGTTGAAGGACTTGAACCTTCTCTCTCATTCGATCCCAATTTTGCCTTACATTCTTTGCAAGTATGATGACACTTCCTACAATATTGAAATCAAATAAAACACTGAAGAATTTTGCTGGATTTATTCTCATACAATCATAGAGCATGGTGGCAAAAGTTCTTGAAGAAGTAATCTCTTGACTAGATTCCCCAATTTTTGTAATATGGGATATAAACTGCAAAATATGACATCTAAATGTCTCGGGGAATAAATGCCCATTAATTAGTATTAAGTACTCCTTCTAGCAATTGCCAAAATATAACAGGATTTTCTAAGCAGCAAAGGACAGTCCTTGCCATTGTACCTAGGAGCAAACCGAGCTAGGAATAAGGTGTGTAACATTTCGTGTAATACCAAGTATATACTTTGTTATGTGGGGGATGAATAGAAGTAGAGAAATAGATGAACAATGAAGAAGCTTCCCATTATCAGTCAGGTACTTTTATAGGCATAAAAGCTCATGCTGGTCTGGGGGAAAGATGTGGAAAGACAAAGGAGAATGATTTTTTGCATAGGATTTGTGGAAATGTGTTCTGTGAGTGCAAGGTTTATACCAGAAGCCATATTGACAATGGAGAGTATAACAGGCAGCTGAAGGAGGAGCTGGGAAGGAAATCAGAGTCTGATTTATGTGAAGGAGTACTTTATGTGAAGTTGGAGGCACCAGGTGACAGAAATCAACATTCTATGGTTAGAGGTGCAAGGCGGAAAAAGCACGCCCTCAGCTTGTGCTCTTCATGGCTTGGCACGACAGCAGGAGGTTGGGCAAAGCCACAGAGGAGAGGGAGGTTGGAATACGGCCTGAGATTGACATTGTTGTTAAAATATGAGAACATTATAAAAAAATCTGTAGCATATTTGGCCTGGTATGTCCCAAAGGAAGACACAAAGGATGGAAGTGATAACATCGACAATCTTAGCAGTATAGCACTAGATGAAAAGAGAGTGAGTGACTTTTAGGTGACATCACACCTAAAAGTACAATAGTTTCATTTCAATAATAGATATCCTAGTAACAGGTATTACAATGATTTTAATTTGCATTTTCTGAAGAATGCAATATATAGTCCAAGGCAATGACTAGTACCTCAGGATCTAATCACAGAACTTAAATTCATAGTTTTGCTGCATATAATTTTAAGTGTGTTTTAGACTATTTTGATCTAGGCTTAATAATTTACATTTGCACAGACCTTTTTTGTTGTGGACAAAATGGTGCAATACCAATTTTCTGAAACTTTTTTTTGCATTTTCCCATGTATGACATCCTTCCAATGGCAAAACCCAAGATACCAGCAACTACAGAGACAGATAAAAATACCTTGTTAATACAAGAGCTTAAATCAGGAGTGGGCTATTGGCTCCACTTTAATCATATAACAAATTCTGTACCACATCTTCTCAGAACATGTCACAAATGTGACATGTCACACATGTGAAGTTATACAGGGTTTACAGGGGTGAATTCAATAACTACTGAAAACCAGTTACCTATCATGAGAGAGAACAACTGGTCCAAAATAATTGATACAGAAAAAGGATATAATATACCTGTGTACAGGAAAAGGAGATAATATTTAAAGGACCAGATTACACAAATAAAATTAATTCAAAATGTCAGCACTAACAGTTCTTAAGAGCCTTTGATTGCACACCATGATTTACTTCTAACGATCACACTTTTAACACCAACTTCTCTGGCCTTCTAAGAAGCTGGAACATCAGCTTGCCATGCTGTTGCACTGTGGCTTTCACTCACTAGAGTCAGAATAAAAGACTACTTCAATGTCCTTGATTTCCTGCTGAATTTCTGCTGGAAAGGGAATTTATTTAATTTCTTGTCATTTATGAGCCACTTTACTGTACAGTACAGTTTCTGTGCTTCTATTTGTTTTCTTTATCAATCCATGGTTCTGAATTAGACAATTGAGATCAATCAAACACATGAAAATGTTATATATTATATATTATAGTGTCATGACTTCTTGATACCATAAGTTGTGCAATCTGCCAAGCACAGCTGATCAATGAGCTGACATAACTGATAAAACAAAGTGGAGACTAAAGTTTATACCAATTTGATAGACTGCATTACATAAATATAATCTGCTACTGAAAATATTTACATTAGAAGAATCTAGTTTCATACATTTATTTTTAAACACATAAAAAAACCTGATTTCCTAATCTGCTGGGGTGACATATCAATTACAAAAAAAAGAAGATTTTGGAAAGAAATTCAGAGAGTTGCATCTTGGCAGGCATATTATCTGTAAAGAACCTTTTATTTCCTTTTAGAATTGGGTACAACTTACGTGCCATCTTGGGGTATGGACCAAATCTTGGGCTTGCTGAGAAAATGCCTAAAATAAAAGGAAATAGTCAGAAAGCTTATTCACTCACCAGTACTGAAAACCAGCACTAATTTTCCTACAGATTTTGCATTTCTTAAAGTGAGGATGGTATGAAGTCCACTAACTCAGATTTCAGTACATCAGGGCACTTTCTATTCTACTAGTTCTTAGTGCATGTGTTTTGGGTTAGTCTTAGAGCCATAGGAGTAAGAGAATCTGGACTTTGCAGGATTCAGTTCAGGCAGGAGCTGAGAGCGTAAACCAACATGAAAGCAACATGTCTGCCACTGGTGACACCCGCAGCACTGCAGAGGAAGTGATGGTGGTTTATGTTTCAGCACAAACCAACCCTGCATATAAAATAGCAAAATTAAATCTCTCACACAGGGTCCAGCTCCTTGTGCTGTGATAAGTAGGATGAAACTGCTCTTTGGTAGCTTTCTGTGGCTATCAATTAAAACTGATATCTAGACTTCCCCTCTGGGGAGGAAGGATCACACATTTTGGCCGTTAAGAGGAGAACACAGTGTGCTAAATAAGAAAAGCAAAAAATTATCTTTAGCTTTTCCACCAAAATCCACATTCCCCAAGTTAATCTCAGGAGGTAAAACCACTATTCCTCTGAGAACTGTGTCTGGCAGAGGAATGCCATGCTGTGGAGGAGGGCTCCACATAGCACGATTACCGTGGCAAAGGGAAGGCAAGTAAACACTGGTTGCACTGTTACATGCATTCAGACAGTAATAATGAGGCTTAGAAGCTCCAGCATCTTCTAGAGGCAGGGTATTGTGTGCAGCCATCAGAAGAAAGAATTTAGACAGAGAAGTATTCAGCCTATGCTAAGCACAAGGGCCTTTGCCCACTGTGATCTATGCAATTTTATATTGGGTCTCTCGGGGGAAGGAGGAACAAAAGTGTTGTTTGTTTCTAATCACCCCCCTCCAACTGGTGACACACAGTAATGATTATTTACTAAGAGCATTTGTTATTTCACAGCTGATCAGAAACATCCAAGTACAATGAACAGAAACTGAGAGAATACCTGGTGCCAGAGGCTGGCACGTTAGCTGCAGAGACAGCCCCAGAGGCCTTCCTGTCACTGCTCACCCTTTTTCCAATGTGTAATCCTTCTCTGACACACTCTTACTCCCTCCCTGCCTGTCTCCCTACAAGCTCATAGGTCAAGGATGGAGTAGGGAACCCACATCAGCCTCTTGTGATACAGCTTAGCAGACTTCAGGGTGGATGCCCCTCACTCTCTCCCCAAAACACCAACCTCTACCTTACACATAGTCCAGGCCCCCAGCAGGGAAACTGAAGGTGCCATGCACAGAACCAGGCACATCCACCACATAAACAGAATACAATTTTCCTTTGTGTTAGCCTGCAGATCGTGAGCCATCTCTACAGAAAGCTCTCTGTCTCCCCACTCTGGCAGCACTCCTTGTCCCTTTGCACCAAAGCTGTAGGACCATTGACACATGGTCACTGTCAAAACATTGCCAGCCTTTTCAAACAGAACAGTCAGAGCTCCAGTACCCGATTCTAACACCCTGCTCAGGCTGTACAGCTCTGCCCTGCGAGCTGCCCCAGTGAAGACTCTACTCAACTGCACATGATCATGATGACAAAATCCAACCACCAGTCTTTGGATTTGCAAATTCTCTTTTCAGTTCATGCTCTTGTGAAAGAACGACTGTAGCAATGCACACATAATAAGCAAATCACCATAGCAATGATGGTAATGAGTGAGAAGAATATTGATCTTGAAAAACAGCATTTTAATGATGTATTTTTTTATCTTTACCTTTTGAGATTAGCCCCTGGGTGACAAGCATGCTCCCAAGAGATAAAGGAAGAGCTGTGAAAATGAAAAGGAAAGTAGCTGGTATCAGCCAAAATTTGCTATGTATTTGGTAAATACTCTCTTATACATTAAATGTTTTCTGTTTCTAATGTAAAAACATTATTTCTAAACATTAACTTTTCCTACTGTCTTAATCACCTGTTACATCTGCTCATTCAGATTACATTCTCTTCAAAGCCAAGATGTTCTCACACAGTGCCAGACATCAGCCATGCTGTAACATCTGGAGCTAATGCAATACATATATATATTTATTAAATAACAGATTCCACAATCTGAATATCTCGTCTAACTACTGCAATACTTATAATGACAGCAGCTCCAATAAAATGCTGAAACCCTTTTCAATCTTCTCCATTCAGGAAATATGTAATTTAGATACAAACTGAGAGGGTGGAAGTAAAGGTACTAAAACACCAAGCACTGATCTTTTTAGCTGTCCTAACACACTTGGATTTTCACAAATCAAAGACACATAGCCATGCCTGCCTTCCATTCAAAGGCAAGGATAAGTATGTAACAAAGTAAAACATTCCTTAGGTGGTTGTAACCAACTCTACAACTGCTGAAGTTCCTACTAAGCAAGACCTCAATCCAACCACCTTTACCTACAACAATGATGAAAATAATTCAATTAAACCTTGAAGAATACAACACTTAACCCACAACAGTGTTCCAACAAAAAAACATTTTTTAGACAGTTTTGCATACATACATCAAGAAGTCATTCTATGTGGTAAGTGTGGCAAGAATTACTTTGGATCACTCACCTCTGTACCAAAAACTTTCCTGTTTGCATTCTTTAATGATCCTTGCAATCTCTCTGTCTTGAATTTGGGACATGGGACAAAATAACATTGGCTGAAAGCATAAACCTGGATTAGTTTACCAAATTTAATCTCACAGGAAGAAAAAAGAAAAAAATTTAATTAATTAAAGAAGATAAATTATAAAAAAAAAAACTACAAAAACCTCCAAGCAAAACTCCTTATTCTGTTGCTAGCAGTATGATGAAATCTTGATACCACAATACAGAAACAGAAAGAACTACATAGGTTTTAAGTTTAAACAACCCATCTTGTTGATCTTTACTTTCCTAAAATTGCTGAGCTGCTGCTTACCCTAGAAGCATATTGTTTTATATCTGTTAGCCATTTCATTCTCATGAGCTACATTATGTCTCCCAGAAAGAAATGACAGGAAATAAAGGCAGAGTGGCAGTTTTCAAAAATCAAGTTCTGCTCTGAACAATTGAAGTTCAATAAGAGCAGATTTTGCAAGTATTAGAAGAGAGTCAAAATAATTTCTGCCAGACTCCTCACTAGTAGAACTTTCTCTCTGAGCAATTTAAATATATCCATGGCATTAACTGAACTCAACCATACTGGCTTCACCCTAGTACAAATCAGGCTGCCAACAGACTTCCCGAAGGTAGCTCTTTTTTCACCCATTGTGATTGTGAGGAAAAAGTGACAGTATTCTCCCTTGCATTCTACTGTCCAAGGTATTGACATGTAAACATATGAGGATTATTTTTCTTTCTTTAACAAAAGACTCAGTGTTAGCATTTGCAGTGCTGTTACCAGACATCTGAGATAAATGGGTGTACTGGTTTCTACTGGATGAGTTTATTTTCTCCACAGTAATCAGTATGGTGCTAGGTTTTGGATTTATGACCAAACCAGTCTTTACAATACAGGGATATTTAATTACTGCTGAGTAGACCTTACACAGAGTCAAGACCTTTTTTGTTTCTCAGGCTGCCCCAATGGCAAATTGGCTGGGGATGTAGAAGAGTTTGGTAAGGGACATAGCTGGGACAGCTGACCCCAGCTGATCCAAAGAATACTCCAATTCCATACCGTGACATTGTGCTCAGCAAGAAAAGCCAAGGCAAAGGAGCCGTCATTAAATTAAAATTAATTGAAATTTTAACATTTTTCTGTGAAAACACATCATCTTCAAACATATGCATTCTTGAAAGAAAAACCATCATAGAAGAAGCAATGCCTTGGAAAATGGAAAGAAGAGCACATTCATCTGTTACAGGATTCTATCTCCTTTCATGCTTGACTTCTTTATGCATGATTTTATAGCCATAATGAGGAAATGCATTTATTGGCCATAGCCACACATTTCACATTATAGGTAGTTGATATCTCAGCCTTTTTTCAAGCACTGCTCCTACAAAAGTTAATGGTGGTGCTGGGCAGACAATGCAGAATTGGCTCCACTCCAGATCATAGAGAACCGCTTCAAACTGGTTTCAGAGCAAGGTCATAACAAATACAGTAAAACACAAACAGGCTGACTGAAAGATAAGGAAATGCATGTCAGAGCCCCAAGTGCACCAACAGGCTTTGCAACCTTTCTGCCTTCATACACACCCTGCCAGCTGTTTAGTTGCTTGGGCTCAGAGTCAGCTCTACCATGGCACAATTGTGTAACACCGAGTTAGACTGCTGAAAACAGAAAAGCTCAGAAAAAGCAGCAATAAACTTTGCCCAGGGCCTCTGCCCTTCAGTTCAGGAGCTGTATATAAGCTCAGGCCCTTGCCTTGTCTGTGCTGTAGCTATACCATGGAGATCCCTACCCTGCCTTGCTAACCTGATCACTCAGCTTAGCATCAGACTTGCCTGGCAATCACTGAACTGACTGTAAGCTGACCCTGGTTAACATCATTGGATCTGCTCTCCTCCTCTTTTTGGGTACAGTGATGCTGTGCTCCCTGTACCCAGCCCCTGCCACCCTGCTGTCACTTGTGCCTCTTCCTTGCAGAACAGCCCAGTTTTGCTGCCCTCTGGTAGTGACTGGTTAGCAAAAAGTAATATCACATTTAAATTCCTCGATGTCTCCATCAGAGGAGAATGTTCATCTTCTGTAGAACTGTAGACCCGATTCTTGTGCTGTATTGTTCCCTTGTCCCCTTCTGAACATGAGCATGCAGAGCTTGATGGGGACAGGCTGTACTGGACTTGTACTCAGACACCACAGCCAGGCCAGCTCATAACTGAGGGCATAAATCAGAGCCTTAAGATTCACAACTCCTAGCCCTCTGAGCACAGTGAACCAGGAAAAATAACACACCATCCTTCCCTCTCTTCATCTATACGCTTAAGCTAACAGACACCTACTTCCCTCTTCAACAAGAGCAACTGAGGCAAAATCTGTTATTCATTAGCAATAGCATTGAAATATAAGGGAGGAAACCCAGCTTACCCATCCAGGTTGTTTTATTGGAGGTGTCTGACTTCCCTGTTGACCTGTTTCAGAAGACATTGTCTCTTTCCTTGTAGTCTGCTACTGCTCTTGTTCAGCAGAAGCTACGCGTTTTATGCTTGGCTACTTCTCCTTCTGCTGGGTACAAAGGTAAAAAGTCAAGATATCATACTGATATTCGCAAGTCCAATGTTCATCTAGAAAGAAAAATGACCAGGTTCAAAGGAGTGCATTTTTTACAGCAAATAGCATCCAGTCACTTGATACACAATTTATAGCACAGCTTATCACTTATCAGCAAAATAAAAAAAGTTGGGTGTAACTTAAACAGCTAAGTCAGTAACTACAGTTAAATGCTGAATCATGACCTAGTATAGTATGTTCAATCATAAAGAAATGAAAATAAATATGAGCAGGTAATTGCAAACCTTTCTAATTTTTTAATGTATTGCAGGTCCAAGAACAGCCTCTTTAGCATGCTGTCCAGAATTACTGCACTACTTCTATCCTCACTGCCATCATCTGAAACCTGGATTCCACGGGACCCACCAAGCAATCACTATCACAAACCACATCTGTATCTCCAAAACCCCAATTCAGTTACAAACATCCTTTAAAAAATAACACAAAAGCATAAATAGGTTCCAAAGAGTTTTAGAGTTGCAATCTTCCATGCTTGAGAGCCATGCTGCTAGGGAAAAGCAATAAGGAAACTCATTTATTTCTAGAGTACTTCAAACAATCTAAATTGTGATTTTTACCTAGCACTTTGCTGTATGGTCTGGCACCTTATTAACATAGAGGGTCCTTTTCTGAAGTCTCCTTTTCTCAAAGTACCTGCTGAGGATGGTGGCACTGAGCAAGGCTAAAGTGACTGCAAAGGGCAGAGTTAAATAGAAAAGATATGCAACAATTTACTGACCTAAATGGTTTTTTTTGCATTTATAATATTACTGTATAAACCACTTCCTGCACTTATTTTGGGGTCAGTTACACAGCTATGAAGTTCAAGCAACAATTGCTTCATATACACTAGATATTCAGACAGCAATTTTTTTAAGCAATAGAAGCAACACAACCTCCCATCCCCTTGGTAAAAAAACTTAAATAAAGCATTGAATTCACACCAATCTGCACTTCATTCTTAGACACTCACAAAAATTACAATGATCACTGTGTCTTTGAAAAACTGTAAGTTTGAAAACCCATATTCTATGAGGAAAGCTCACAGCTCTACACCGTCTTCCTCAATCTGAGAACAATTTAATTTTCATCAGTGTCTTGTCACTTAATGCAAAAAAATGACATAAAATATAAGAAAGATGCATAAAACTTTAAAGTGGCTTGTGTCATCAAAAATTAATCAAATTTTCTTTTCTTATCTGCTTTCTTATTCTTATCTACTCAGAAAGCTTACTTGTACAGACGGCTGCATAAAATAATCACTGGAAACAGTTTCTGAATGCTGCAACAGATTTAAAGTGCTTGTCTTTTTCATTATAATAAAACAGCTGAGTCACAGGAGGAAAATAAATAAAATAAAATGAAGGAAAAAGAGTGGGTATAAATAAAGATTATAACTATTTGAAGTTTGCCATGGGCCTCCTATATTGTCCTAAGTACACGTTTCTCCTGAATTAGAAGTTATTCAGCTATGCTACTGCTTCAACATATTGAAGAACCCCAAAAATATTTAGCCCTTTAAGCAGCCTCGTGGTACAGCTCCCACATGGGATGAAAGCTGAGAGCTATACTGGCAAGAACGAAACAAAGAGACAGAGTTGATGTCATCAAAATATTATGTAACTGAATTATTAATATTCATACCTAGCAGACAAGCTGTCTCCTGTCTGAGGAATGTAAAGTGTTCCAATATTTCAAGGCCCCGTGTCTTGGAAAGACAACTGTTATCCCAAAAAATAACTCTTCCATTAGCTTACTGGAGAAATATAATTTCTTGTCATTTTCTGCAATACTCATTGCTGTTTTCTCAACCTTACACACAATTCTTAGTGCAACAATTAGGTGTATATTCTGGGAAGAATTCTCCAATTATATTATTCTCTTTAAATGAAATGCCTGTGTAATACAAGATTAAACCAATGTGGTTTGCAAATATCAAATAGTCAAAAAACTTATTCATCTTTTACAAGAAATGTTCTGGATAATTTATTCGTTTACAGAAGAAAATGCTAATTTTAGGCTCCTGAAAAAATCTCACAGTTTGAATACCTCTAATGGGATGACAAAGAAGCAGTATGCAAGAAGATAGCTAAGTTTTTCAAATATGAGAGTTGTCAACTTCATACACCGTGTTTTCAATAAAAAGCCTCCTTCTGAATAGGAATAATGACCCCATAATTTCTAGGGCTACTTGGGGGAAGAGAGGGAGAGCCAAAATTGCATGTATCAACCGGTCCACGCAGTGGGGTGTGATGCCCAGGGCAGGCACCACCCATCAAAGATTTCAGGGAGGCACTTCAAGGAAGAGGAAGATGACAAGCCTCAACACGACGTTTCACACCTATCTGAACTGGCTTTTTGAAATAAGAGCCTGAGTTTAAAAGAAAGGTGAGTCTACAGAGTAGCTGCAGTGGGTAGTCAATGGAAAGGTCCCTACCAACAAGCCGAGAGCACGGCGCTGGGGAATGCGCCACGCCTGCTCAGCGCCCCCAGCCAGGGCAGCGCGCACCCGGCCAGCACAGAGCGTTTCTGTCCTAGAGTCACAGAACCGACTAGGCTGGAAAAGGCCTCTAAGATCATCGAGTCCAAACTATGACCAAACATCGCCTTGTCAACGTGGCACTAAGCGTCACATCCGTTCCGTTGTATAATCATACTTATCGTGAAGAAATTCTTCCTAATGTTCAAGCTGAACCTCGTCTGGCACGGCTTGAGGCTATGTCCCTTTGTCCTGCCATTTGTCGTCTGGAAGAAGAGACCAATCCTCCCCTGGCTACAACCTCCTTCCGGGTATTTGTAGAGGGCAATAAGGTCTCCCCGAGCATCATTTTCTCCAGGCTAAACACCCCAGCGCCCTCAGCCGCTCCTAGCAGGACTTATACCCCAGACCCTTCAGCAGCTCCACTGCCCTTCTCTGGCCACGCTCAAGCACCTCAGCGTGCTGACGGGCACGGCGCGGCCGGGCTGCGGCAGCACAGGCCCCACAGCGGCCGCCGGCCCGCGGGCCGGCTGCCCAAAGCCGCGCCCCGACCCTCGCCTTTCCCCGCCGTGACGCTGGAGAAATCCGGCCCCGCGGAGCCGCTTGGCGCGGAGAGGAGAAGTCTGACACTCACGGCCCCCGCCGCTCTTACCTTTCGCAGGCCGCCGGAGGAAACAGAACGGGCTGGACTGGGCTGACCCCACAGCCCACGGGTGCCCGCCTGCCGCGCTGAGCCGCTCTGGGCGGAACCGGCCCGCCCGGGCTGCCGGGCTCCGGCGCCACCTGCCGGGCGCAGGGACAGCGGCGCGGCCGGCCCCGCCGCCGTCACCTCACGGCCCGCCGCTCGGCCCCGCGGGGACGCACCGGCCCTGCCCGCCTCCGGTGCGCTGCTCCCGTAGGACAACAGCGAGCGCGCCAATTCCGCGTTCTCGGATTTCCCGACGGAAATTCAGAACGCTTTTTCAGCAAGGGTATGTGTTAATGAAGGTAACAGAATTACGGAATCTTTAGGTTGGAAGGGCCCTCTGGAGGTCGTCTGGTCCAACCCCCACTGCCAAGGCAGGGCCACCTGGAACAGGTGACACAGGAATGTGTCCAGGTGGGTTTGGAATGCCTAGAGAAAGGGAGACTCCATGACCTCCCTGGGCAGCCTGTTCAGTGCTCTGCCACTCACAATGGAAAGATCTTCCTCAAGCTGAATTGGGACTTCTTGTGGTTATAGTTTATGGCCACTGCTCCTCATCCTGTCTCTGGGCACCACCAAAAAGGATCTGGCAGCATCCTCTGAGACCTGCCTTTGTGATAATTATATGTGCCCATGAGACCCCCTCCCAGTTTTCTCCTCTGCAGACCAAACAGGCCCAGCTCCTGCAGTCTCTGCCTAAGAGAGCTGCTCCAAACCTCTCATCATCCTTGTGGCCTCCACTGGACCCTCTCCAGTAACTTCTTGTCTTTCTTGTAGTGAGGAGCCCAGCATACCACATATGGGGTCTGTCCTACTAATTGAAAGTATTTTTTTTCTGGAAATGAAATACTGTTCTTTTAAAAAGAAACAACAAATTATACTTTGACCATTTTGGAATTAAAAGCATTGCTTATGTACTTTGATTTTAATACTACAATGCTCATGTAAATAAATAAATAAATTCTAATATTAACAAGAATTAAATAAGAAAGGCACTTTCATCAAGCAAAAATAATTTTGCAAGAAAAAGTTATTCTGAAAATGTCAGTTGGATGTGGGAGGGGTTGTTCTAGGAATATTAAAAAAATTGTTCTACTTTCTCTGAAGTAAGAAATGCAATGCCTTTCTTTAAGAATAAGTTTTCTAAATAAAAATATAAAACTGAGTTTTATTCTGCATTTTATTTTAATTATAAAGGTCTCTGTTTCTATTTTGTTTTGCTTTATTTTTTTTTTCACAGCAAGACAGTAGTTTTCAGTGGAATATCTTAAATGGCGATATGACACTTCAGTGCTTATCATGAAATGAATAGCCTGTGAGATCATCATTAAACTTCCTCCTTCTGCATGACCTTGGCATCTCAGTTTCATAAGAAACATAAATCATAGTTAATTTTCTTAAGTCCAAAGAAAGCTTTCAGCTTCCATGAGTCTTGGCTGCTTGAAGTCCCTTTCACCAGGCTATTCTCCCACTCTTGTCTGCCAAACCACATGATCAGACTTTGCTGCTGCAAAATGTGCTTTTCACATGGAGGCTGGGCAAGAGTGTTGTCCTAAAACAAGTCTTGAAAGTGTATCTAATACCTCCTGGGATCTCAAAGGTATTCTTGAAAACATACATGAAAACTCTTCAATAGATACTGGCTACATGCTATTCTGAAAAATACAATACACAAGAGAATCCCATGTGGAGTGAGTACTTCATAACCAATAACTTCTTAACTGGTCCATCTTAAGCTGAACATAAAGTGAAAGCACTGGAATGATAATTTTCTCATGTGTGTGCCTGAGGATAGTGATTGCCTAGAGATAGGACTGTTTGGATTCTTGCATCTTTCTGTGCGAAAGTGCCTCTTAAAAATCAGTTGAAGCTTCTTTTTAATTGTAACTTTAAATGTAAAGTTGGTTATCACAATTGAATATATTTTTCAAACACTTTTTCTTTCCAAGATTTACCTGAAAGTTTTTCAGAGTTATAAAAATAGAGAGAAGGTAATAGAGAAACCAGTAAATGTTAGTGATTTGGAAGAGTAAACACAAAGCAAAAGAGATTCTTACCACTCCCGGAGCAACACAAACTTTACACATCAAAGAAATAAACCCCAAGGGATACCAAAAATAAAGCGACTAATATGGAGTTGAATGTTTGGCTGAGGAATTATCTGTTGTCAGAGTAGAAGCAGATGAGGGACTGAGATTTCACAAACTCAGGGAAGGTTTACAGGGCTCTGGCTGCTTGACTGAAGAACCTCTTAGAAAACACTGAAGGGTTGCCAGGGTCCTGAGGTCCACCACAGTCACCAAAGCAAAGCCTTTGTGGTGTGCATATTTAACAAAAAAACTCCACGTGTGTATGCAGTGCATGCCAGCAGGAGGAACTATTACCACTTATGTTAAACATGGTTTATCTGTCTGTTACAAAATCAAACCCTGTTAATTGCTTGAAAATCCCTGTGAAACAAAGCTCCACCCCCATGCTTAGTAACCATAACAGAGCATGGAAAACCAAGTAAGAATTACACGACAGGGCATTGTTCTCGTGCTGATGGGAGCACGAGTTAAGGGCGAATGAAAAGACATGAAAAATCACAGCAGGAAACAGTCAACATACCTCTGAGTAAAACATTAAACTGTCCTCACTACTTGCAAGGAATCATGTAAGTTTTCTGTGTCTTGGCTGATTCTTGGATGTACTTCTATTTGATACTTGGCCTGGGCTACCTTTAAGAAGTGAATAGTTGGTAATTATGAAATGTTTAAGATACAGGATTTTCCCTTCTCAGTGTGAAGAACCCAGTAAAGTGCTTGCAGGGACCTGCTTGTGTTTGTGTTTCCCATGAGATTGTGACAAGTGCCTAACTGTAGACTCACCCACCCCTGCTTTATTCAGAGCTGTGGTTGTTTTAGTCCTAATCTGTGCTCATACTTTCATGCTTTTTCCCCCTATTTCTCTGGCACTTGCTTCTGCTTCTTCATCATGCTCATGTCAGGCATCTCAGGCAATATGTAAGGACAACTTCTCACAGGGGTCTGAAATTTCCTTTAAGTGCCATGTGTTTCCTTGGGTTTCAAAACATACTTATATTACAGTTTGAACACAAATAAAGATGTGTTTTTTACAATCGCTAGCTTTAGAAAAGTTTACCCCTGTCAACCAATGTAATTATGGGGCTGTTAAATTCAGATAACTTTTTATGTCTGCCTTGGGGTAGGAGTGTCTTAAATACTACTCTAGAATGCAAATGCTTCTTGTTCTGTGAGTGGAAGCTCCTACTGTAGTGTTTTCTTGACTTTACTGGTTTGACATCATTGTATTCCTGTAAAGATCAAATGCTTTTGCTTTCTTTTTTTGTCATGTACACCTGTGGCACTCCAGGAATAATAAAAAAAAAAAATGTAGTGAAAGGCATTACTACACATATATGTGTAACTAAGCGCCTTGCAAGCACTGACGTTTGTATTTAAGACATTGCACCTGAAAAGTCTCTCTTTTGCTCTGATGCTCGTGCATATATTAGCCCTATGGAGAGCAATAGAGTGTAACTTTGTGCCAAGTGAGACCAAAGTTAATAGTTACTAAGAGTCTCAGAGAGAGTACCCAGAATACAATGGGTAAATTTGTCAGGATTTGCATTGTTTTCATTGCATTATGAGTTTAATGGAAGCCACACAAGCATATCAGGTTCACAATTCCAGTCATGTCTTGTTTTACTGGAACTCCACCTCTGAACCATGAAACAAGATACTGTAATTACAAAAAGGGTTGCAAAATTTTTTTGAATATTTATTGGCTGAATACACGCTGTGTGCCTCACGCTCCCGCTACGCAGCTCCAAAAGCAGCCATGTTCTGCGTTTATTCTGGCCAAAGATCTCATCTTCCATTTGCATCACCACAGCGAGATGAAATGGTGTCATCACTCACATAATCCTGATATCCAGTGATAAGTGAGCTTGGTGACTATTCTGGTATGACTTTTCTTTAATGAAGAAAAAGAAAGATGCCTTTAATGACATGGGACTTGGAGAAAACAGAGATGCTCATTAAATCTATGAGTCTCATTCTTCCTTCCCTACTGAGGTCAACTTTTCCATCAAAATACTTTAGTTCTTTTGTGGGCATTTAAAACATATTTCCATTTTTAAAAACACATTTTCAAATAGCAGCCAAAATTCAACAGAGTTTTTGTAATAGCCAAACCCCATCATACTGCCGGGTGAATGAATCACTTGACTTTGAGACTTCTAGGGCAAAATTTAGTTTAGTACCGTGTCCTCTCAAATGTCTAGACCAGACTTTATTGCTAAGAATAGGTCATATAGATGTTGGGTATTTATAGGTTACTCCTATGGATTTAGAGTTTCACAAACTGGGGAAAGAAAATGTGTACCATAAGGTTTATTTAGAATGGGACAGTCTTTTTAACACAAATGAGAAGGTACAGATGGCGGTTCTATAGGATGCTGTATGCATATTATTAAAATTTAAGATGATGGTATATTCCAAGAGCAAAAGCACTTCTTAGTTCTTGGGTTATATTTAAAATTTTGCTTTTCATGCCTCCCCAAAAAATTCTAAAATTGATATTTTGCTTACGTAATCTTTTTGCCAGAATTTGGCAGCTGTGATCACAGCTGGCTAGATCTAACTCATGATTTTTTCTAAAATTAACAAACGTGGTTACTCAGGAATCTCAGCAAGCGAAACGCTTCTTTTGATGCTTTTTGTAGATAGCATTGCTTATCAGAAGTCCTTACTCTGCTATAGAACAACACACATTTCACAAAGGTGAGCGCAGTACTAATTCGGACATCCCGAACCCGGCGTAGTGTTCGTACAAGCTGCCAGGTGGGCTAGCTCCTCTTTTCCCCGCCAGCTAGTGCTACGACAACCTTTTACTTTTATTTTTCTTGCTGCCGTGACTGCTCAGGGGACAAACCGCTGGCACATGAGTGGCGGGGCGAGATGTGCTGGCCGTTCGGCGCGGCGGGGCCGTGCGGACGCGGAGAGCGCGGTCCGGCCGTGCGGGCTGCCCGCCCCCGCCAGGGACGCGGCTCCGTGAGGCGGGACGGGCGGCGGCGCCGCGCCCTGCCGGGCACTCGGGAGCGGGACGCAGCCCCCGCCGAGCCGGCAGCACCGGCGGCGATGTTCCCGCTGTGGAAGGACGTTCTCTCGGAGAGTCTCCTGGGTAGGTGGCGGCGGTGCCGCCCGAAGGGGCTGGGGGCTCGGGGCCGCGCTGAGGGCGCCGGGGGCTGAGCCGGGGCCGGCAGTAGCAGGGCAGCCCCGGCAGGGCGCCGCGGGGCTCGCCGTGCGTGCAGGCGAGCCGCCGATGAACAGCTCCCGTCTGGAACGAGTAAATAGCGCTCACACCTGAGCGCTCTTCCTCGGGTTCTCTTTTCCCTCTAGTGCTGGAATGCTTTTTGTCTCTTGGATCAGCCTAGAATTTACTGCTGCTGTGTCCGGCCAGGTGCTTGTGCAGGCGCTGCAGAGGCGGTGCTGCGCTGCCCTGCTCGAGGCAGGGCGCCGGGGGTCGCCAGAGCCAGCGCCCGCAGTGTCTGCTCGCTGCATCTCCTGCCAAGCATGGAAACTCACAGCGCAGTGCTGCCGTGCCCGGATGAGGTGTCTCCGGGGGAGAACAGCACACCGATTTACTAGAATAATTCCTTTAGCCACCAGTCTGCCTTCGAGTAGCCCTGAGACTGAGGGTGGACTGCTTATTTAGCCAGCCCTCTGAGCACTAGTCCTTTCCGAAGTTGAGCACTTCACTGAGGTTCAAAGTAGGAACTGCGGTCTGAGTGGGGGAAGAGCTGTTTTATTCTCATAATTCTATTTCCTTGTAAAATGCACTTGTTTAACTTGAAATAACAAACATTTCTTCAAAGAAGGTAGCTGTTTTTGCTTGAATTGCTTTCAAACACATTTGATAGTCTATATGTGAAAGTATAAAATGGTGCCTCTTAAGTAATCTCCAGGAAATCTTGTTGTTGAAAATACGTGATGGGGTTTTCTCTTTTTGGTTTGTTCTTGTTTTAGGCTACATTTCTTGGTCTCTTTACCATGCACTGCCACCAATGATCTACTACTTCCCTCTTCAGACACTGGCACTCACAGGCTTAGAAGTTTTTGCTGTTGCCTTCTTTTCCCCGATATTCTTGACAATTGACCCTTTTTGGAGGCTGGCTAACAATGAGTATGTTCTAGCCTTTCTGAGATTGACTATGGTTGGTAAGTACTCAATGCAATGAGTTATAGATTCTGTTCCGGTATCAATGCATAAGAACAAACATTCCAAATTGCCTTAAAATTCAGACTATTACAAAAAAGAGACAGAAAAAAGAAGTTCTCACTCTCCCCATAGTCATGTTTTTCTGGTTTCATTTTTTTTCTTTCAAGCTTTTAGCTACAGTCAGAGAAATATTTTTTGTAGCCATTGTATTGCATAAATACAGAAAAATATAATTTAACTTTTATTTCTAGTAGCTTTTAATTTAGTAAGAGTGATGTGCAATAGGAAAGGTATTTTCAGTATCACTCAAATATCAGCAGAGCAGGTGTTCTTTGAATTGTGACAATGGGTAGGGATGAGGCATTACAGAACAGCTTGGGGCTAGTTTCTATGAGTGAAATATTCTTTTTAGTTTCGGAGGCAGTTTTTTCTTCTAAGAATGTATTTTTTAAATTAAATCTGTCTATCTACATGCCTGTAGAGGGGTTACAGGCTCATCCTAAATATGAAATAAACTCAGGAAATAGATGCCCCATTTCCCATTCCACAGGCTTCTCCTTAAACCAAGATTTGCTGGGATTCCCACTTCAGTCTTCAGCTAACTGGTGCAAATCTTAGCTCTTGTTGTTTCATATTTGAAAGTTTTTTGGGGGAAGGTTTGGCAGCTACAGTCACGTTCAGAAGCGAGAGTTTGCCACACCCGATGGACTCAGAGGAGACAAGGGTCTCTCTCCGTCCTGTGTAGAGGTGAAAATGTTGCTGAGAGATGTGTTTCACACGCAGCAGATCCTAGCTCCTCATTTGTCAATACAAGATGATAGACAGATAATCACTTTCCTTATAGTTTTCCTCTTTTGCTGTTAGAAGACAGAGTACAATCATCTTACTTACTTTCCCTGTGTAGTTTTTTTAAAATGAATTCTTTTTCTTTCTCTCTAGAAAAATACTAGAACTGAGCAGAGTTTGTTGGCGTCATTGATTTTCATGAAGAATAGTCTTACCATGTTCTTTTCTTTTCCTGCTCTTCCCATTTTATCCATCCTAGTACTTGTTATTTTGTAATAAGCTTCTCAGTGAGCAGAATCTTCAGCTTCTTGCAGCAGTGCCTCTTGTGTTGCCTTCTGCAAGATCTTCTAGTTGAGAAAGTAGGAGTGAGTATAAGCATTTAAAATTGCACCTTACCTTCCTTCAGATGTGACACTAACACAAAATTTGCCATGTTTATTTAAGGTTGATCCTTCAGATCACCTTGCTGTGTTTACCAGTTCACTTTACCAAAAGAGATGGAAATCACTTAGAAGTGTGTAATTTTTGTTCTGCTAAATAAAGAGCAGTGACAGGCCTATGATGATCTTTTATGTGTTGCTGATTCTCCTGTTTCTCAGTTCTTCCTGTGTTTTTCCTCCTTCATACTGAGACAATTTTATTCATTCTCTTTTTGATCTTTTTTCCTTCTCAGAAAGGCCATGGCCGTCCTCTGGGACTTGTTGAATTGTCAGGCAGAACAATCTACCCCATGCATGCTCCACCCCATTCTACTCAGTCTTCAATTTCACAACCAAAAAATAAGAAAATTTTTCATGCTTAGCTAAGACCTGAATATTTATGGGGATTATTTTTTTTTCCTGTTCTCTTTCTTTCTGCCTTTTCAGGAAGCTTTCTTTTCCCTGCAGCTTCTAATTTCTGTGTCCTTTCATGCTACTTGATTTTGTGCTCTATTTGAAAATAAACAACAGCAAAGTACCCTGTGGTAGTGTCTATTTGCATCTGTGTCTTCAGACAACATAAGTTAAATTTGGGTGTTTGGATAGATATATTTAAGTCTTGGGTGTACTTGCCCAGCAACTAAAGGTGTGTCTGCTCTGACTTGGCAAACCCCTGCTACCTTTAATCAGGGTAGCACACATGATGAAATATTTGGAGAGGCAAGTTTATGGATTGCCAGCACAATTTAGTGACAGAAATCTGTGTGTACTGTGAAACCTCTGTTGAAGTTCATGCAAGTACACCTTCACTGCACATTGATCTTGTTTATTGTCTTGGCTCTAAGCTTTGCATCTTTTACTCTGAGCAGAATGAACAGGTAAACAGTTGGAGGATCCCTCACATGCGTTGCCAGAATCTGCAGCGCCGTTTCTGACATTGCTTGCTTAACATCTCTTCAAGTTTGACTCATACTCTCTTAGCAAATGGCTGATATCATAACAGTTGCTGCTTCTCCTGCTGTTTGTCACTGGTCCTGGGCCAGAATTTGCCACACTGACTGAGGTTACGAAAATATATGTGGTGCATTGTCACTTGAATTGGAAACCTGTTAGCAGAGTTTCAAACTGCTGGTAATGTGGGGTCACTGTGCCCTGGGAAATGGCAAAGGTGTGTGCACAAGCTCTCTTTCAGTGGCTGGGAAAGCGGTAGTTCTCAGTAATAAAATGGCACAAGCTGGTACTGACCACTTCTTAGACCAGATACTGAGCCAGAGAAAGCCTTGTTCACCCCTACTGAGGCAGTTGATTATTAATCCCTGTGCTATGTATGGTGACTGCTCCTGCCTAATAAAGAACGTGGCTTTTGCCACAGTGTGCTTACTTTTGTAAGTGTACTGCAGCAAAAGCCATATCCTTTTTAGAAAGGAACAGTCACAGTACATATAACTTTATGGCTTTTCAGTTATCTAAGTGCATGGTTGAAGAATATCTGTATATGCTTAGATATCCATATATCCTCTCTATGGGATCAATCACCATAAGTACTTAAATAAAGGCAATCACTCGGACTGCTGGATAATTGCTTCATATTAACTTTTTCCTTGAAAATTATAACTGATATGAAGTCATATATACCCAGTTTCTGTGTGCACCTGCATTTCTTTGGTTTGTTTAAAAATGTGTAGTGTCATGTGTTTTCAGATAAGTGGTGTAGCTGTTCAAATTACAGACAATGTTGAACTAATGCACAGGAAATCCTTATTACCCGGTCTCTATTGATCATTAAAGTAACCTCTGTGTGTGTATTTGTTTGTAGGAAGCTTAGCATCATACCATGCACCAAATGCTTCAATTAGACTGCTCATCTTGGCTGCTGGTGTTTCTTCTTCATTGCTGGTTCAAACAGTAACATGGTGGTCAGGAAACAGTGTACAAAGGTATTTTCTTATACTGATGGAATTTAACTGATGTTTCTTTATATTAAAAGCTGTTTTATATTTTTTTTTAAAATCCTCCAAATGTCTCACTGTTTCAAGAACTGATTCTTACAGGTTCATCAGGATATGGGGCTTCATGCTAGGCAAGATAATGCTCCTTGTTCTTCGTATCTGGTACACATCACTTAATCCAGTCTGGAGCTCACAAGTTGCCAATACTGTGATACTGACAATTGGTTTTGTAGCAGCAGTGGAGCGAATCCATTCAGGTAAGTATATTACAGCAAAGAGGGTGGTTTTGAGAGGAGTCTAAAGTATACCTAGCTATGTGTCACTGGGTTTTGATTCTTTGATTTTTTTCCCCCAACACAGTCTGGTTTTAGACCTGCTGCATGAGCATTGCAGGTTTTAGAAGTTGTGGGGTACTTCCATCTGCCCATAATATGGCAGAACTGGTATCACAGTTCATACAAGTGGTAGTAAGTTGGTGCCAGAACTGCCTCTTTTTCCTTATTGCAGTGCCAACAATATGACAGTAACACAAACAAAGGCATAAGATAGACCAATAAAACCAGAATGGATTATTGTCTTTCCAGCATGAAACATTTGTGGTGTTTTTGTTATTTTGTTAATTCAGTTTGTACTTTTTGTTTCACTGCCAGTGCATATCTTTTAAGAGAGAAAGGGAGACATAGTTGGGGAACAGCTGATATGTGAAAATAAAGAGAAAGAATTGGAGGAGTGGACAAGCTGTCCCAGTTAAACTTTGCCCAAGTTCTTGAAGTGTTTGCACAGAGTACACAGTAGTGGGGGCTGGCATAGGCTGAACTGTGGAGGTGGTATTGCCAAGGAAGACAGCAAGGCTGGGTTGGTTAGTTAATGCAGCTCATGTTAAATCCTCAGAATATCCTTCCTTCTCAGTATAACCTTAATGAATTAATTGAAAGATAAAACCTTATCTATGTGTAAGTGGGTATAAATTAGCATCATGCATATTGTCTGTAAGCTTGCATTACATGATCTAAATTAAGCCTGAGCTTTCATCATAATTTAGAAAGGGAATCTGCTGCAGGAGATTAGGAAGGAAATCTGTCTTGTTTGTGGGTGACAAAATGATATGTCTATGCAATTAAAGGTGCTGCATTCTCCTTAGATGAGAGAGATTCTAAAGCACATTGGAAAAAAGGAGAAGGAAGGGAGTTTATTTCTGGCTTATTTGGAAGTGTCAGGTTTTGTTCTTATCAGAGTTTAGAGTTTCAGAGAACAGAAGCCTCTGAACAAATTCTAATAACTTTTCTGCTGATTTGCAAAGCCAATTTAAACATTTAAAATTTATTATGGAAAATAATCAGATGTGCAGGTGGCATTTTTGCCTGAATATACTCACTTATGGTGAGTATATTTTCTTGACAGACCTCGAGTGTTGGTAAAGATTTTTTTTTGTATCATCAATTTCTGATAACACAATCCTAATCAGATAAATTAGCTTTTGTGCATGCAATTTATTCTAGTAAATTTGTGATTTTGGCTATTTCTTTTTCTCAGTAGCTCTTGCTAATAGGATTTGACAGTTTGCTCAGCTGTATTTCTATTCTTTTTCTAGGTGGAGACAAGAGGAAACAAGAAACAAACAAAACTGGTAATGTGATTAGAGAGGCTGCTTCCCATCCTCACTGGTTTTTATCAGGGATTGCTTTTGGCAGCCTCATATTCCTCACTGTGTGGATATTTGGGGAGGTGTCCTTAATTTCCAGATGGGCAGTAAGTGGACATCCACATACAGGTCCAGATCCTAATCCATACGGGTGAGTGCATGATGATGATGATGATGATGATGATGATGACAAAATTGTAATGAAAATCCAGTGCTGTAGTGGGTGACAAATTAAAACTCAACCTGATGATTGTATAAGGCAGAAAAAAGTGGGTACAAGGAACTTCACACAGAGGATTCATTCTTCCTTTGAGATATCACTAAGCATTTTGTCCAGACCTTAAAATTTTCTGATACAGAATTATTTTTATTTCAGCACTAAAATCTTGGTTTGCCACATTTCAAAACAATTTTTATATTAGGATTGAGGTTCAAGGACTTAGGAATGCAGTACATCTATAATAAGCAGTAAATTAGTCTAGCAGTTGGCTTCAGAGAGGAGATGGTCAGAGACACATGCAGAAAGTATAAATAAACTGTGTACACTATTAAAATATATACTTCAGTAGAAATTTTGTTTAGTAAGAATGTAGTCTTAACGCTGTGTGTAGTTCATTCAGGTTCCAAAATCTAGAAAGAAAAGAAATTACTTATTCAGAATAAACTACATGTGATGGCAGTTGACAGAATTTATATTTTGGAATTGGTACAAAAAAGAGCTCCCCAAGACTGAGAACAGTGTTAGATACTTTAGGATTCCTTATTTGACATGAAAAAAATACTTCTGTTTGGGGTAGATTCTTCCCTTTTTTTTTCTTTGAGTTGTTTTTGCCTTTTGTACCAAGATATCAGTGGACTGCTTTTGCTGCTGAACACAGATCACTTATACATAACAGAAAATTGCCATTATTTTCAACTGGATGTTTTTCACATCCAATAAAGGGAAGAAAATGTAGCCGGGTGTGAGCAAAATTTATCTTTGTTTAAAGTAAAATAATTATAATATATTACCAAGGACCCTTGTCCATATATCTGGAAGTTTGGGGTTTTTTAATATCAGGTGTTTTAAAATCATATTAGTGCATGTTTTCTTTTTCCTTATTGTTGTGTCAGAGGTACAGTTCTGTTGGGCCTTGCTCATGGACTGATGCTTTCATTTTGGAGCTGGTCTTCTATCATCAGTTTTGCCTTGTTTCTTATAGGTAGGTGCAAATCCTGAGCAGAATTTTTGTCTGTTACCTTATTCCCTTTACTCAAGTCCTCTAACCTGACACCACATCTCAGAAAGGCGTGGCTAATCAAAGCCTCCTTGTCTCTTGCCCCTGACTGTAGTACACGTATGTCACCAGTTGACTGAGGGTTACATGCCAAATCTCCAGGCCATTGCAGAGCAGAGTTATTGTCTTCAGAAGCCCTGCTAAGGTTCTGTTCCCTTGAGCAGCATCTCAGTTCTGACCACCTGCATTGTGTAACAGTTGGACTTGATGATCTTAGAAGTCTTTTCCAACCTTTGTGATTCTATGATCACTAAGGCCACATCAGGGTTATGGGGCTGAAAGGACACAAGTCTCTCAATTCCACAGGAGGCAAAATGACTTGTAATTTAACAAGCAGCCTCCCTGGAGACAAGCTTGCCTCCTGTGCCTTTACTTGCCAAGTTCTGCAGGCAGTAAAATAGTATGAACAGGCAGGTTTTAGTGTTAAGAAATGTGTGTACAGATTGTAACGTAAGCATGAACATTTGACTTTTGATGCACACACATTGCTTATTTAAAACAGGCACAGAAAGGTTCTTTAGTTTATTCAAGCATTGTATTCTAAAATGCTCAGAACCTTGATGTATTAAAGTTAAATATTAAAAGTATTTCTCTACATTTGCTTTCATGGTGTGACAGTAAATATTCATATCTACAATAATGTTTTAAAATGAAGTTGTCCCGTTATAGAGAGGCTCTGTTGTTGTTAATGTTCTGTTTAGAGTCAAATCTCCAAATCAAAGATAGCATGGTAACTCAAGGATCTTGAAGTTAGTAAAAGATTAATAGTTGCTTTCTTGCCTATCCTATGGTTATCTAGAGGAAAAGATCAGGAAATGATATATCTGATTTTCTCTTCATATAAATTTATTTGATTCTTTCTGTATTATGGTAAAAGAGATTCATGACAGACTGTTATTCATGACCAACTGACAGACCTGTTACTCTCTTAAGAGCTGCATCACTCCTCTGTTGTGCTGAAGAACTCTAAGAAAAAACTGTTTGGTTTTGGCTCTTGATGATGTTTCTCTGCCCTCTTTTTCCTGTACTGTTTTCAGCTGAATAGGCAATGTTTAAAAGAATGAGATATTGGGGAAAATAAAAGACTGTCTTTGGCTACTGGTAATACCTGTCCTTGTAGTGATGCAGTTTTTATATTATATTTTCCAGACTATTTTTTCACTAGCCAGAATGTGAAAATGAATGTGGTGGGTAAGACACCTGACTGAGACTTACTCTGTTCTTTTCTATCCCTTCACAGGTTTGACATCTTCAGCTGGTCTCCTTTATTTACATACCTGGAGTGCTGCTGTTGCAGGCAACATTCTTGGTGTCTTTACTATGTGTGTGTGGCCTCAACTAGCTGCACGCTTTGTTAGCTGTCTGCATCCTGGGAAAGCCATGAGCACAGCCATGTTTGCCTACGTTCTTGAATTATTCTTCTGTGTATGGTGTACAGCTTATAAATTTGTACCTGGAGGAGTTTACATTAGAGAAAGCTCCCATCTTCTTCTAGGTACATTTGTGATAATGAACAAATACAAATATGCTTGCTTTAGCTTCAGACAGACGTGAAATGTATCTAAAGAGTCTTTTCAAGTGCTTGGTTACTGTTTAATTACTTACTGTGGTAAGAGTTTCAGTGCAAAAATTAATGAGACATGCAAAAATATTCTACTTGTTTCTTTACTGTTAGAAATAGTCTAAAATGTGGACAGGAAATGGAATTCAGTTAAGGAAAAATGACAAAGTGGAAAAATGTCTGATAACTAAAATATGCAGTGGAGGAAGAGATCTGTTATCCAATCACCCTAAAAATATGGCTGCAATCCAGGGTGTGAATGCACAAATATGCTGGCTACCTAAGGTAGCAGTGCCTCGGGTAACAGGGTAGCTACTGGGACTGTAATGTAATTCAGTGCATTATTTAACCTTGCTCTGCAGAGCAAAGTGCAGCATCCTGCTGATCTAGCTAGTCTACATTGGAGACCTGAGCTTCTTTCCCCTGTGGCTCTACCTTATGTTTTGTGGACACACCAGCATGTTTGGGGGGGTTTCAGATGAGCCTGTAGCATCAGAAACACGTGAACAGGACAGGCAGAAAAGAAATTGTCAGGTATTTGCAAATCAGGAAAAACTGAATTGAGCACATATAATGGCTTTAGCAAAATGATGACTTGATGAGGGTGGAGAGGTGGCAAGGAAACTAACCCTTCCTGGTTTTGTCTTCAGAAATATTTTTGCAATAGGTACTAACATGTTTAAATGGCATATTTCACTAACTGCATTTGAACAATGCCAAACATTGTCTTGGGCTCATTGTGTGGGGCATTTTTTAAAATGTGACGCATTAGTATATTTTATTTGGAAAGGATTAATGAACACTGTGCTTAACTTGTTGCTCCAAAGGGTTCAGATTTCATAAATGTCTTTGCAACTACTTTGTGTCACTCCAATTTTTTACTCTTCATGTGTGTTTCCTATATTACAGCATTCACATGAGGGATTTGAGTTCATTATGTTTTAGGGGAATTTAATTCCATTATTGCATTACTTTCTTTGTTCTGAAAGCACTCTGAGGAGTCTTTAGAAACAGTTATCTTAGGTAATTAAATTTAATTTTTTGAAATTATATGAAGAAAGCATGTGGTAGAGGAGTGTCAAATGCTTTCTTGAGTAATGCTTTCACAAAATAAATATTTTATTCAAAATTCCTCTCTGATACTTCCTTTGAAATGCACACTTGTGATTAATTTACCTAGTGTGATCGCTTGGTGGTAACAGAGAGATGGCCTCAATTTTCTCTTTGGCAAAGAAAACTATAAATGGAACACATGTCAGCTGATGGCACTGCATGAGTTTAACTTGCATCTGGGAATGCAGTTTCTGTCTTTTTGATGCCATCTCATAGTTTATCAAAGATTATACAATGAGACTGTGTATTTGTTGCTGCTCTTTGACTCACTGTGGTTATGACTGATAGAGGCTACTCCTAATGGAGTGTGTCAAACAGAGACAAGAAAATGGGCACAAACCAAAATGTGAAAATGGATTCAGCATCATTGGTGGTTTTGTTCTAGTGGTTGAGGAGGGGGCCTTTCTGGATCTTGGGATTTACACTGTGTGTACAAGAGATGTGGATGGTTTCCCAGCCACGCATTGTGGCGATTTTGAGGAGGTTCAGTGTCACAGCACTGCCAGGGCTGTGTGAGCTGGCTGGCAGTGTGGTGGCACTGGGTGGCCCTGAGCTGCTGTACAGTGTGACACTCTCCTGCCTGAGGAGGTCCTGCAGGGCCTGCTGTGGCCAGCAGCACAACACAACGCTTGGGGCTGGCTGTGTGCTCAGACCAGACCTGTCCTCAGGAAACCATTGTCATCTGCTGCCCCTCAACCATGCCTAGGGATCCCAGATTTTCAGGTTATATGTATGGGCTCTGCTTTTTTCCTTAAGTTTTGAAGAGAAATGAAAATCAAACTTTTGAGGTTTTATCACTTTTTGGCTTTTAAAGCATACAGATATTTTCAAATATTTTTCTACAATCATTTGAGTCCCTGATTTGTTTTCATTGTCAGCTTACTGTTTCTAAAGAAAAATGCCTGTCAGTAGAGTGAAGTGTGGTAGAGGAACAAATGCTAGGCATGAGGGCATGGTAACCCTACAGAGATCAGGATGATGAAGATTGCAATTCCTGCCATCTTTTCTTCTGTGACTTTGGATCAAACCACTTGTCATTTGTTTACATTTTGCTGCATTTGGAAAAAGAAGACAATATTGCTTCACAGTTTTTCAGAGCTGTTTCTGGAATCTTTATGGAGGTCTTTGCCCTGTATATTCAGGGGCCAAAAGAATGTGGCCTGTGGGAGTTCATGTCAGAGAAAACATGAGCACCATTTCAAGTGGTTTCAATATTACCGCTAAGAAACATTTCACAAAAGTAAATTAATATTTCAAAATATTACCTGTCACAAAGCACAGCCCTTGCCCAGCTAACCTTGTAATGTTGCAACAGTACCTCTTGTACTTCCTCATCATGCCCACACTTGTACTGTTTCTCAACTTCCACTCTAAGCACCTTTGTGTCTTGCAGAGTAGGAAATTGCTTGACATGTGCTACAATAAGTAGCATGTCCTTCTTTCTGACATCTTCCATTATAAAATGTATTTAAATTTTGCACAAAACTATTCCAGAAAACTTGCATTAAAATTATTTCATATGTTTTTAAATATATGAAAGAATAAACTGGAGTTGCTGAAATCATTACGTATGCCACTGTGTAAATGAAATAACTGCAGAGGGCTTTGATCATCAAATTATATTGTGCTGAATGGTGAGAGCTCTTAAGTGCACTGTGGTTATTTGTAATGCTACAGGAACAATTAGAAAGCTCTGAATATGCTTTCTATGAAGCTGCACTGTCTTTCCAAGAATATGTCAAACAAATGACCCCTCTTTAAGTCTGGCAGGCACCACATCTTTCTGACATCTAAAGGCTTGCAAAGTAAACTAAATTTTATTCCACACATTATATTAATACAAGATAAAAATTGTGTACTACAGATGCATACTTGCACACAGAGAGGAAAACACTGAAAGGTTTACATGATGCTCTTAATGACATCTTCAGTAGGTGTAATTTTTACATAACTATTCCAAGGAGTTTTGGTACTTTTTATCTGCTCAGCAGGTTGTGTTTTGGAGAGTGTATTTGCACACATACACACATTCTGCATGCATAGATACTGCCTTGATCTGCTGTTTTCACTTAAATGGACACATTTCTTGTTCTGAGAATAGCACACCTTTGAATGTGTCCTGTTTAACAGCACTAATAGCATTATTTTTTCTCAAATTAAAAACATTTTTCTGTGTTTTTCTATTTCAAGTATTGTGGCTGCTTGTTGGTGTTGGTTTGCTTGGATTGAGTTTACGTTATAGAACTTACCAGAAGAAGTTGGGCCAAAGGGTGAGTAGGGTGTTTGTGAGAATGGTAACTTTCAAATATACAGTAAAATGTGTGTGTAACAGCTTAGGTGTGTTAATTGTGGCTGAAGAAATCTTTGCAACCAAGTATTTGGAAAAACTAGTGCATAATTGAAGATGCAAAAATTTAATTTATAAATTCATGTCAAATTGAAATGTCCAGGTGTTTGGAGCTTTATAGTGATGCTATGAAGTAAAAAGTATTTTGAAAATTTGAGAGATTCATGTCTCATATGTTCAATTTGAACATTACTTTTATAAATTAGTTTATTTGAATGGTATTCAAACTGGACAATGCTGTTAGCCTTCTGATCTCGTGAAGGGGGAGTTTGGACAGATAACTTCCTGAGGTTTCTTCCAGGTGAAGGAATTTTATGGTTCTATACTATATCATAACTCTGAATTGAAGCTCTCTGAAAAGTTGGTTGACATAGGTTAAACTTAGACTAGGTATGGAAATTGGATAAAAATGTGAAGATTCCAATTTTCTATCTTGCAAGAAAATAGGTATTGCAAAGGTAATAAATAACAAGATGGTTAACAGTCGTGGAGTTCAGTGTTAGAATCACAAATGCACACAGTTTAATATGGTTGGCCTTTTTTTTCAATTAACTCAGGTTTTGTCTTTTTGTGTGGCAAAATGTGGTTAGTTCCTCTTAGTAAGATGAAAAAATACATTGTCTCTTTCATCTTCATTTTTTTTACTGTTACTTCTACAAATTCATTTGAACTATGATGACTTTTATTCCCTTGTTAATAGCAGATTTAGTCTTTTGTAATTCTGACATCTTTATTAGGAAAATATACTGGTTAAAACATCTCTTCTTGTATGTCTTTTATGGCACCATGTGTCTGGTGTTGTTTACTGCAAAGCTATAATATGTAAAAATTCAAATTTTATTTTATTTTTTTCCTTTTATTTTTTGAGGTTCCAAAAAGAGATTTCTCTGCTATGATCTGGCCTTTTAGATTTGGATTTGACAATGAAGGATGGTCTAATTTGGAACGATCAGCTAATTTGCTTAATCAGACAGGTAACTTTTTTCCCCTACTTTATTTATATTTGGGAGAATTCATCTGAAGAGACATATGTAAACCCCTTGGTAACTGAGGCATTAACAAAAGAACCTGTGTTTAGGGGTTTTCTCCTCAATTTGTGAACTGTTTCAATACAATCACTTCAGTCAAAAATCCATTTGCAGAGGTGATAATTTGTTTAATGTGTTTTAAAGAAGTTTCTGGTCAGAGGAAACATTATAAACATTATAAACATTTCTTATTTGGATTTTTCTTCTCATATTGCTGATGAGTTACTTGTCTATAGAGAAATTCTTTGCATAATTGAAATAAAATCCTTTTTTACAACATGTTAATTAGTGCATGCACAGTATCTCTAATGCTTTAGAAATGGCATGAGATCTGACCAGGCCAGCTGTGTTCTGCAGTCTCATGTATCTCTGGTTATGCACCAGGGATGAGCCATGGCCAGCAGACAGTAAGTGCATCTTCATCAGAGTTTGTGTGGCCTGCAGTGGCCAAAAGTTTGGGTATGACTTTGTTGCCAGCATTGATTTGCCTTGACTGACCCCGAAGGGCTTGTGTCCATCCCTCTGTAATTGAAAGGGAAATAATGACATTATTTATAAGTCCCATTTATAGGTAACAATTATAAATGTGAAAATATTTTCTTTTTTTTTTCCTTCCATCTTAGAAGCAGATTTTATCACTATTATAGAGAGTGATGCCTCTAAACCATTCATTGGAAACCATGATCCAACCATGTGGCTTGGAGAAAGACTGGGATTTTATACAGATTTTGGTCCAAGCACAAGAGATCACACTTGGGGGTGAGTCACCTTTACATTCACAGTGACAGTAAATAGATGCAAATATATTGCCCAATACAAACTGCACTAATACAGAAGCAAAGAATAGTTGGAATAGTGCTCACTATTATCACTTGTTGCAGCTTGTCCTTTAGCAACAGGCTTTGGTCCATTAGCATTACCATGCAATGTGGATGGAGTTTTCTCATTGCTAAACATGATCAGATTTTGGTGCCTGCCCCCATAAGCTGCTTTGGTCTTGGTGATGCAGCGAATGGCATCCTGCCTTTTAATGTACAGATTTGGAAGTTTAGCATTCCCAGTATTGCATCTGATGCCCTTTTGACATTATTTTGTTTTGGGCTATGAGAATTTTATATTTCAGACTTAAAAATGTGATAGCAGTTGGAAAAGGTAGCACATCAGGAGGTATGAGAAATATTGATTTCATACCTAGCTTGGGCTGTATAATGGGAAATGGGAATAGAAAGATGCATGTCTGTTTCATCAGATATTTTGTGTCTAATTTTACATTAATGCTTGACCACCTACCAGTTGCATATCTTTAAATATCTTTGTCCTCTAGAAAAATACTGGCATATAATGTACCTTTTTATTTTCAGAGGTATATACACATCTATGTGGCAGATGGAACTTCCTACTAATGTTGCTATGGCTATTTAATTTTTGTCTTATACGAGGGGCATTTAGTAACTTTCTTCTTCCAGACCCTGTCTATTTGAGGCAGAATGGGGGAGAGAAGTCATTCTCTGAGATTTTTAAAATTAAATACATTGAAAACCTGATGCAAAATGCAGTAGCTGAAAAAAAAAAAAAGAAATCTCTAATTTTAAAGCTGTATTTCTACCTACTTCTACTTTTAATAAAATACCTTTTAATTTCTGGTAGTACAAAATTCTGTTTTGTCTGAAATACAGATCATGAAAACCTCAGTGAAAGACTTCATATTTATGGAATGATATTTCTTAGTATAGGAATTAATTTGATAATATATTTTAGACATGTAGTTAAGCAGTATTTTAGAGGGAAACTTCCTATATTCAGAAAAATCCACTAGACATGGTTTTGTATTCTGGTCTTATAGTTTCCTATTTCAGTGACTGTTAGTCTTCTGCTCACATTTATCTGCTTAGTTCACACCTTTGATGCTTGTGAATCACAAAATGTAACTTTTTGCCTCTCCTCATGTAGGATTATGGCACTATCCAGGTATCCAATTGTAAAATCAACCCATCACCTCCTTCCATCTCCAGAGGGAGAGATTGCACCTGCCATCTCCCTGACTGTCAACTTCACAGGGAAGCTGGTTGATTTTGTTGTTGCTCACTTCGGAAATGAAGAGTGTGTATTTCACTTTTTTTTTTTTACATATAGTGTACACAGTCATGTAATGTGTGAACTTCCAGGATTTATTTTGTACTTTTTAAAATGTGCTGCTGTAATACTGGTTCTAGCAGGGCGCATTTGAAGAAATACTATGACAGTTTAAAATTGGTTAAACTACTGGTTTAAAATTTTGAAGCATTTTTGAATGTGTCGTGCAAAACTCAGCTGAACCTACCATCTGAATTACTAGAGATTTAAAGATACAGTTCTGCAAAGCCACTACAAATCATAGGGCTACAGATGCACCTCAGCACAGGAAGCATCCAGCATCCTTCTGGCATGTGGAGTAGATGTATTACATTCCACAATGACTGCAGATAGGTACAGTTAGAGATACACAGCATTAATGGAAAAATGGTTGGTTGTTTGTTTTTTGTTTTTTTTTTTTTTTAAATAACAAATCTGAAACTCCAAGAAAGAACAGGGTTGAAACAGCCACAAAAGTATGCATCAGTGTCCTTCTGAGAGTATGCAAGTGGAAATAGGAAGTCTGATCTCTGAATTCAGAACAGCAATATTATACCAATAAATCAAATAAGTGATGGAAAAAGAATAAAAGAATATGGTATATATTTCAGTTCTTGAAAACAATGTTTTACCTGGGTGTAATGAATATTAATAAGAGATAGTTTTGTGAATGCTCCATGCAGCTGTTATTTCTGTTATATTTGGTGGGATATCTGGTATGTTTGCAGCTATGTAGTAAGTTCTGGCATTTAAAAAAAATTGTTACAATTCATGGAGCAGCAAGTTTATGTGTGCAGAATATTATAACACAAAGAAGCTACTCAGAAAGCCAAAGGAATTCTCTTTATCCCATTTCCGTCCCTGAGTAGAAATTGCACCAAACCTGCAAATTGTTTATAGATTTTCCCATTTATTAAACAAATATAATTGTCAGAAATCACTCCCCATTTTTAACTCCAGAACACAATTTAATTCTGTGCCTCACACAGATGATTATACTTGCCTGTCTGAGAAACTGTTTGTCAAAGTAGAAGAAAATAACACTGTATTATACCCTTGCAAAGAAATGAGATAAAGATGAAAGACAAAATACGAGGAGACAAATGGGAAAGGAGTGCAAATTAGATTGTGTTTTAGAGGGGAATGAATTTTTAACTATTTTTAATGAATATTTAACTATTTTAAATATTGCACATAACTGCTCATTTTTAATATTTTTTCTTCTGCTGCTTACATTGACATAGACTATAGAATACTGGATAACTAGGGTTGTTTTTAAATAGGATTTTTAAAATGTGAGACTATAAGTATGCCTGTGCTTTTAAAAGATCCTATCTTGTGGAGAGGTGCATTCTGGAAAGAGCAGCTAGCTGAGCAGGCAACTTCACATATACCTATGTCAGACTTCTACTTAAGTGTTTGTGGAAATTTTTGTCTCCTGTCTGTGTGCTCTTTTTCCCTAATACAGTTGCTTCAGTCAGAAGTACAATTATTTAGCAAACATAGCTGCATTTAAATTGTTGTCTTCAGGGTTTACAGGTTCCAAAATCAGCTTTCTCTGTCAATGTTTTTACTGTTAGCCCAGAGTGTCAAAATCTAGAAGACAACATGATTTGCACAACAATTTACAAGCCATTAACATGAAGAATCATAGAAAGAGAACAGGTTTTTAATTATTTTATGACAAATCCAAGGACAGGGAATGGGATCCAATGAAGTATTTTACCAGGCTTCACTTATGCTATCACTTTTGGTCATGTTGGAATGCTTGTGTAAATCTTGTTAAAGAGATGTGAAATACATGCCAAATGTAATTAAGTAATGCTAATGGGATGATGTAACTCTAGTTGCATTTCATAAATTATGGGACCCAGACTTTAAGACTTTATTTACCATGATCTATCCATAATAAAATTTCTTTAGCATGTAAGTTCTTTGTTATGCACCACATCATGCTAGAACAGTTAAATTTTAAGTGCAAGCAGAGACAAAGCCTTAGAGTACCAAAACACTAACATTCACATTTCCTAGTGATGGTATCAGTATTAAAAACAAAACAGTAATAGAAAATGTTGTTCCTGTAATGGATAGAAAGAGAATGTGAATTACATCTACCGTGACCATGTGGCTTTTATCAAATGTATTGATAGCTTTGAATCAATGAGCTTCCTGTCAGCTTTCATACTCGCTAATATTGAGCAACAAAAATGGTACCAGATTCATCTGTGGTTTAGTATGTCATAGCACAAAGATTGTGAGCTAAAATGTATATGTCTTAAAGTCTTTTTCATTTCTTTCAGAGAGGACTTGGACAGAAAACTCCAAGCAATAGCTGTTTCAAACCTGTTGAAGACTAGCTCTAAGCAAGTTGTGTTTCTAGGATACATCACTTCAGCTCCTGGATCCAGAGACTATACTGAATTAATAAAAAATGGAAATATGCAGGTAATATAAAAATACTGCATCTTTAGAGAATATATATATATATATTGGAAGCATTCAGCTTAATATTTCTAATTGGTAACTTAAATATAGACAGAGAAGAAAACACGTGCCCATTTTCAAATATAATCTTTAGCTACCTCATGGTATCTTGCAGAGAAGGTGGAGTTACACAGTGAAAGAACAAAAGGCAATGGGCAGCAGCTGCCCCAAGGGCGAGGTCAGTTAGAAGAAATAAAGAGGATTGTCAAGGATTAGAACAGGGGCCTGGTGAAGTTGTGAAACTTTCATCCTTAGCAATATTCAAAAGTTAGCTGCATAAAGCCCTGAGCAAGCTGCCTGAAGTGACTTTGACCAAGGTTAGGAGTAGGTGACCTCCAGATAGCCTCTAATTCTGTGATTCTTTTAAAAATGAGCTCTGCATTAAGAGATGTCAAAAAGTTGTCTGATTTGTCCATGTCTAACACTGAGCTTTTTTCTTTCTACCTTATTACAATGTTTTAGGCAAAATATTTTTCTGCAGTGAGTTTATACATTGGTCCTGTTACTGATTTAAAGCCTAGCCAGATGAACACTTACCTTATTTGTTTGACTTTTTTCCCTTTCAATATCCCTCTAGGATATTGACAGTACAGACCGGGACAGATGGTGTAGCTATATCATGTATCGTGGAGTAATAAGGTATGTTAAAGTGAATCACTTATATGTAGGCTTAAATATTTTTATGGTTATCAGTTTTATAATCTTTTGTAAGTGATTGTGGAAGAGTCTTACATCCCTAAACAATTATTCTGGGCAGTTGGATCTATCATAAAATTATGTGAAACATTGATCTTAGGGTCACAAGAACTGGTGTATCTCTGAATATAATTCACAAAGACACTATTACAGGTTTCATCATTCTATGTCAAAAACCTTCACTTCTCTCTTCTTTGGTAGCATAAAACTACATTTTTCCAAAGCTCTGGCTTTGCAACTTTATTCTAAAATGTGAAGGCTAAGACCTAATTTGTATGTGACACAGAAGATACAAATTTTGAACTATGTTTTAGGGTTTGTTGAAGCAAAATGCTGATCTAATCCAGCCAATCTTTATGCTGAACTTGAACTGTGTAAGCCCATATTGAGGCACAGGACCTGTGCACTCCATATCTTTTAATACCAAATTGCTTGTAAATCATTCTCTTGGTGATGTTTGTACCGGAATGGAATTTATCTTCTTTTCAATAAACTACACAAATTCTGTAGTGTTCATAAGTCATAAACTTGATAGCTGTCTTAACAGTATTGAGTAAAAAAGAAACAAAGACAACTAAAAAGACTCAGCTGAAACTCTATTTGCAATTTGAATTTTTAGCATTATTCATTTAATTGATGCTTGGCTTTCTTTCTTGAATATTGAAATCTTTTCAGTGAAAATTTGGTGAGCTTATACCTCCACTCATATTCTAAAGCTGTCATTTTAAAAAAAGTTTTTAGACATAGAACTTATTTTTACTGTCAAACACAGTTTTAAAGTTTTTATGCTTGTGACATGGTATTATGATCCTGCTTATGGAGCCCTTTCAGATTTTTGAGGGTGAGATTTGCAGAAATGAAAAATTGTGTTGATAAGTTAAAGCATAACTCTTTGGAAAAAAAAAAAAGATACGTTCATGAAGAATGTGGTGAAATTGTGGTGAGTTGTTTCTTCAAACTAACTCTTCTCATATTTGACAGGCTGGGTTATGCCCGCATATCTCATGCTGGTTTAAGTGATTCAGAAGTCCAGATGGCCAAATTTAGAATCCCAGATGACGTGGATAGCTATGTTGACAATGACAGAATTGTCACTGATCCCAGCCAAGTTCCTGAGGACATCCATTTCAATCCCAGGTCAGTGTGTCTCATAGGAAATGAAGGGGATGCTGTACCTGGCATCTTGTAAAAGAGAAGTCTAGGAACAAAATTTCTAAAGTGAGAGGCACTGATCAGTACCCAGTTGAGCAGAAGGGTAGAAGTCAAGAACTTCTGATTTGTAATTCCGTTTTTTTGAGTGATTTGGCATGTACCCTGGGAAAATCAGTCTATTGTGTCACAGCATAAATTACAAGTAATGCTCACTTCACCCAGGCAATTTCTGAGATTGTTTGATAGGGATATTTGCCAAGTGGTGTGGTGACTCATTTGATAGATAATGAAAGGTCTCCCATGTTTCTCAGCACTTCAGAGATTGGGGTCTTAATATACTGTTACTTAGAATATCAAATATATACATTATATACATTAGAATATCAAATATATACATTAAATACTTTTTGCATAAGCACTTTAAAACATACCGTATAATTGGAGCAAAAATTAAAGAGAATGTCTGAGGCAGTATGTTGCATGTGTCAAGAAGGGGAAAAAAAGGGACTAGGTTTAATGTAAAAGAGTCACTTATTTCTAAATTGCCATCATTTTTCCACTGGTATTGCATAAGGAAGAGATGTATAGAGGAAGATATTTATTCTAGTATTAAGTATTAATAGTGAAAGAGCCATGAAGCTTGTGACAGATGTTGCCACAGAGAGAATAATTCCCAGTAATGCCATGTTTACTACTCCTAACATGCATAATGCAGAATATATTACTTTCTTATATACATCTGACTGTGGAGTGTATTCACTTTTTATGTACCACTCAGCCACTGGCTTCCTGTCTAAGCAGGGCTTTGCCCAGACTTTTCCACATGATGGAACTTGCCTACAGCTAGCATTCACCTTCAGATTTTTCTCAGTTGACTTCAGTACAGAATCTTGTCCTAATTTCTTTTGCCTGCCTATAATCAGAAATTGTTTACCCTACTGCAATGTATTTAACTTTTTCTGATTAACTGTACTTCTTTAGAAATACAATGGCAGTGCTCTTAAATATTACTTAGCATTGATATTTTAAATAAGTACTCCATTTTCCTTTTGCAAGTCTGTCTACCATAATAGTCAGTTGTCAAAACTTTCATAGTTAAATATGGCATGAAAAATTACAATTTTCATCATAATTTGCAAAAGCAAGATGTACAGTATTAATAACAGGGGTGACTGTTTTGATACTATGGGTGTTTAAATTGTATCTCTACTGAAATCAGGACTAAAAACATAGCTTAGAATTTAAGTAGATAAATGCAACATTCAGCTTTTTCATCTGGAGTTCCAGTTATAGACTGCCTACAGCATGAGCAGAATCAATGTAATTAATTGTCTCCAGTATACTCAAAGACCTTTAGCAGGAGAGGGTTCATAGAAGCTGATTTACATTTAATAGAGTTGGGGCCTGTTTCAGAAATAAATTGCCTAGAACATTCAGAGGTAGGGTAGTAATTGTATGATTTAATTGTATGGGTTAAATAATGTTGTAATAGTATTGCTCTGTTGAATATTTTTTTTTAGGTTTGGATCTTACAAAGATGGACATAATTATGTGCCTATTCATCACTTTCATATGAGCACTCCTAAATATTTTAAACGGACAAATTAGAGCAAGAAAATAAAATTATTATTCAGACCAACAAGAAAGGTATATTGCTCGAAACTGAATTGACAGCCAAAAAGACTACAGTGTTTAAGGATGAGCAACTGCCTTGCTGCACAACACTGTGAATGTCTTTGTAATAGTTGGTGCCTTTCTTCTTGAATGAGCTGCCATCACTGTGAGGGAAGGAAGGTGCACGCATTTTGGTAAACTGGTATGCACGTTGGCCAGATACCTGCTTTGTATGCAGCCAAGCAAGGGTGGGAACTTGCTTTGGCAACAACTTCTTCAGCTTTTGTGGAGGTACTATATATCATGATGTTTCAGAGTGCTATTGCTGCTACTACAATAAAAAGATTGACCTAGGGTTTTTCAAAATAGCAATGGAACTAGTGTATTTTTTAATTGGGAAATATGCAGTAAGTATGTGTTTGGAGTGTGCACCTTTTCAACTCAAACAGTATTTACACCTGCTGCTATTCCACATTTTATTAAATGTTTTATTCCACATATTCTTAAATGAGTTTTACAACACTTTGCAGATAATTGATGTTCATAATACTGGAGAAAAAGAGGTGACTTTTATAGACTTCATTTTATTAGCTGGACATCAGACACTGCAATGCTTTTACAAAGGGAAGAGTAGAGTACCTCTGAATAATGATGGTTATGAGACACCTGCATGAACACACTGACAAAGAATTAAAAACAATCATGCTCAGCACAACAAGGTTTCTGAGAAGGGACAAAAGTTGGTTGTAACTTTTATTTAAAATGAATCATAAAAAAGGGAAAAAACAAAAAGCTTTGTTTCTTTGCTAGCACTACACTTCAGTAGGACTAAATAGAGGTGTTGCATTTTTGACCTAGGCAGTGAATTCCCTGTTATGCAATGCACATGTGACACAATGTAAAATGTTGTGTCTTCTCAGGGTCTCTTGGCAATGTCTTTTATATTTAGCTCCTGAGCCTTCACTGTACTGGCAGAGCTTCCCTTTAATAATGAGGATATCTTCAGTCCTGTCCAAAGGATGTTTCCTGCTTGTGAGAAGCATGTTAGATAATTTAAGTCACGCATTCAGTTTGGAAACCACATTTGTGATGTTGGTATTTAATACTGTGTCTTTCCAGTCATGTCTAAGCATATCGTAACTAAAAGGAATAGGATATGTTGCAGGAAAGAGGATGGATTTTTTTTCTCCCTATAATTCTTTACCATATACTTTTAAGAACAGTTTGAGTGCACTCAATTTGATTGTTTCTCTATGTAAGCAAATACAGGATGGGTTTTTACCCAGGGTTTCTTGTTCTATGGAGTCAGGTAATTGCTGCCAGCACCACACTTGTTGCTTTATTCTGACCACCTATCATTTTGCTCCCTTGTTTTTAGAGCTGTGTTTCTGAGAGTGAAACTGATCACTGGTCTTTGTGGACAGAAGATATCTGAAAGGCATTTAAAAGTCTCAGTGGTTATGTATTCATCATCTCAGATGTAACTGACAATTAACCAGCCTTTGTTGAACTAATTTCTCACCTATGGGTGCTTTGTGTGTCTTTACAAGCCCTCTGAACTTGTTCTTTGTGTGACTCCCCAGCAAAACAGGATTAATGATGTTGTGGAGAGATACAAATAATTTTCTTGCACTTTTAGCAGTTCTCTTCTGCAAACACCAGTAGCCCTTGTCTCTTCTTTCTCCCAGCTTGCAAAAGTAGCTGGCACTGGCACCAACATTGCACAGTGCTCTGAGTATCCTCATTTATTTTCAGCATGCTCTCATGCTAGCTCTGTAGCACATCCAGCCACAGGTTTGCCTTTTCATAGTCTGTAGAACACTTAACATTACCTTGCCACATTATTTAACATTCTCCACAGGCTGACTCTGCAAACACCTTGTAATGTGAGCAGATTATTAATGTGAAATGCAAGAAATGATACATGTAAGTACAAAAAGCTTGAAAACTTCTAACTTTTTAACAATTAAAAAATAGGATGAGGCTATTTTTCAAGAAGCCAGACAGCATAACATGACTTGCATAACAGATCAGATTATAAATCATATCTGTATGTAATCTTCAAAGTCTCTGAGCATACTTTAATGGATTTTTTACAAGATTTAGACATGCTCACCCTATTAGGAAGGTTCATGTTGACAGTGAAAAAACCTGAAGTTTGAATATTCTCTTCTTCTATGTAGTGTGTAGTTTAATGTATGTAACTAGTAGCTAATATTTGTTGACATTTGCATTATTTTATCAGAATAATTAAGAAAAAAACATGACCACAAGCTGTTTATATACTACTTCTACACCTGTGGTTAGAATTGGGAAGCTAAAACTAAACTTTATTTGTCCTTACATCTACACACTGATCTAATCCCTTGATATTTAAGTGGTTTAGAAAAATTTGCATTATATATCTAAGTCACAATCATTGTTTCAAACTATGACAGAAATGTGCTAGAACAGGTCCTGCTGCAGGGGTGTGTGACTAATCTTTTAGTTTTCTAATCATACTCTCTTCATCCCAGCTTTCAAAAAAAAGTTTGTTATGAAAGAAATTTGTGGATATCTTTATGCATTCAGAGATGGCATGCAAAGAAAATAATGTATAAAATAAGTAGTATTTACTAAAGGTTTGAACTTTGCTTGTGGTAAAAGGTCTGGATTACACATATCTGACTTCTAAATAAGTATTCTGTTGTACTCCAAATCCCATCCTCTGACATTCTGTGCAGGTCTGTTGAAGTTTGTAGGAATGTACAGGAAGAGACAGCAGTACATCAGGGGCCTGTCAGTGTGTATCTTGGAATAAAAACCAACTCCAGGTAACATATATCAGAGCAACTTCTGAGAGCACTGGATTCTTCAGCAGGGTGGAGACTGCAGTCTCCTCGTACATATATATTCCTGCCTTGACCCAGGCACAGTGACTCTGGTGTTACAGAGCACTCCAAAACCTGGGAGTTGCAGTTCAAACCTCCTGAGCTAAGAAAAACCTGAAATTGTTATCTCCCATTTTCAAAAACAGTGTTGCAGCTACAAGCTGAGCTTGGACACACCCTTTGGTTTTGAACCAGACTTGATGTTATTTAAACAAGTTGTTGCAGCTTAAGTGTACAGGTAACCAGTTCCCACCTGTCTCACTGGAACAGAACACCGGGAATGTTCATGGTCCTCTGCTGGTAGTGAGGGAGATTTGTGGCCCCAGAGAGGGGTGCTGGCTGTTTTGATGCATCCCTAGGGTTCAGGAAGAAATTCTTAGTTGCTCTCAATCTTCGCTGCTTAGAGTTGCCTCATGATGAGTTAAGAGAATGTAAAATTTAAAACTGAAGCTGAAAAAAATGCCCATAACTGGAATGTAAGAATTTAGGTATCAACAGCCCTGAAACATGATTTTTGTCATGTATGTAATATATTTGCAGTTGAGTGTACTCACTTTTTATGGATACATAAAAAGTGTTTGTGTATATATATATATATATATATATAAACATATATTGTTTTGCAGGATGTTACAGAACGACCTTTGGGCCAATGTAATGTACCCATGGAGCAAGTGTTAGAGAGCAGACCTTTCCACTTAACACAGTATGGGTCCATGGGACGGGGAGATTAAAATGAGCTGAACTGTTTTATCAGTAGTGCTTTGAAGCAGTTTGTATAATGTGCAGCTGCTGCTTTCTGCCACTTGAGGTCCTCTTTTGTCCCTAATTGGTACAGTTTGCTGATACCAAGCAGGAATAACTCACAGGTGTTGGGTTTTTTCATTGCAAATCTGAGGGTGAAAAATCTCTTCAGAAGCATTACACAAACATGTGTTGACTTGTGTATCAGTTATCTCTTTATGTCTGTAAATGATTTAGAACTGTGATTGCTGGGCTTCTTTGTTTATTTTCTTACAATACCCTGCACTGTGCTTTGTTGCTGCTTTATCTGCTTTCTTAATGTTCAGCAAATACTTCTTTGTCATGTTTTTCTTTTAATACAATTCTCTTTCCCCTCTCTCCTGTAAAACACATCATGCTGTATGATTCTGGTGCCTAAAATTAATTTTCAAGCTTGTTTCTATGCTAAGCAACATGAATTAAAGTATTCAAGAGATACAATGGCTTTAGCAATCTGGAGTCTGATATGCTTTGGAAATAGTGTTTCCTTTTGGAAATTCTTTCTCAGATACATCTGCACAGTTTCTGATAGTGAAGAAGATACAACTAAGTAAATGGCTCCTCTTGTTATTCAGTACTTTTCACAGTCTACAATTAAGTTTATTGAAAATATGGTTGCCATTTTAGCTATCAATTAAAAAAGCAGTGCAAACATAAAAAAAAAGCAAACAATGGCAGTCTTTTCCAGAAAAAAAGAAGTCTGCAGTTCCAAGGCTGATCTAAGAGTGCGCAAACTGGAAGATGAATTTACTGCCACTCTTCACTTCCATGGTTTGTTATTCCTCTCCTGTGCACTGATGGGAGCACCTGCATATATGTGTAGTAAGCCACATCTGGATATTCAGCTGGCTGGGAAAGCAAACAAATAAAGAAAACTTAAAGAATTCCTAAAAGGTTTGTTTTGTTTTGGGATTTTTTTGCTTTTTGGGAGCACTGAGCATAGTCTTGCTCTTTGACCTACCTTGCTATTTAGCTGTCCAAGTGATTGCACTGGCACAAAATAAAGGCTGCCAGGAGGGTTATATTAAGACATTAATGGTGGAACCGCTTAAGCTGTCAGTCCATGCGGTGGTCCCACCCTGGCTGGATGCCAGATGCCCACCAAAGCCACTCTATCACTCCCCTGTGCAGCTGGACAGGGAGAGAAAATACAGTGAAAGACTTGGAGGTTGAGATAAGAACAGGGAGAGATCATTCACCAGTTAGTGTCACGGGCAAAACAGACTTGACTCAGGGAAATTCATCAAATTTATTGCCAGTCAAAATCAGAGCAGAACAATGAGAAGTAAAACAAATCTTAGAACCTTTCCCCTGTCCCTTCCTTCTTTCTGGCCTTAACTTTATTCCCAGTTTTCTACTCCTCCCACACAGTGGCACAGGGAGATGGGGAATGGTTATTGTCAGTTCATCATGTGTTGTTTCTGCTGCTGCTTCCTCCTCAGGGAGAGGAGTCCTTCAGCTGCTCCAGGGAGGGGTCCCTCCTGGGAGATAGTCCTACACAAGCTACTCCAACCTCAGCTCTTCCCATCAGTTGCAGCTCCTCAGGAACTGCTCCAACGTGGGCCACTCTCCCACGGGGCGCAGTCCTTCAGGAACAGGTTGCTCCAGCATGGACCTCCCACAGGG